TTTAACAACGTTCTCTCTTCTGAGTTAAAAGCTTTTTACCTCATGACACCAAAAGGGAAAGCATCGAAAGTAATAATTTGCTGTTTTTTCTCATTATTAAAATTAGGGAGTCTTTATATTCATTAAATGTATCAAACATGTGTATTCCGTAATCTTAATCCACTTTGTTCTTTATTCGAAAATGCTCTGCGACATCAAATTCATCGTCGAAGGACTTTTCATTCGACACTGGAAGATATCGTATACATTGTCGACAACTGTAAATTCGCTACTCGACGGATAAATTCGACAATCGACAGGCATAAGTACAAACGAGAAAATTAGCGTAGAGCTTAGTCGACATGGACAGCCACTAACAAACCCCAAGTAAATGTTATTGCGTAAAATTGTTTGTAGATATAGAGAAACTGATGCTCCGCTGCTCTTGTCGTACAAAGGTAATTTAAGTTTGTGCGGATGTATGCAATAACCAAAGGAACTTAAGATAGATCCATCTCTTATAATTACTTTTGGATCATCTAAGCTTGTCTGTCCGTTTGTTTGTCTTATTCACTTTTGTCCAACGTCCAGGTCCCACTTTTTAAGATACTTTGATGAAATTTAATATACCGAATTTTCTGGATCCGACCAGTTTTCCGACCTCTCCCCAAAAAACCCTTTATTTCGAAAAGTCTTTAGACGGTTAACTGCATTAAGCGAAGTGTTGTATGTGTTTTCCTTCCTTTATCCTCCTATGTGTTTTTCCTTCCTTTATTATTTTTTCAATTTTTCCTTTACCTTCAAAAGGGGTACGAAAAACTTTTGTTTGTTCTGATAAGGCGATTCCGTTTAACGCTAAAACTAGCGCTATCGAAATGGGACGATTTGACCCATAATCTTTGTCGTATTGACTCAGTTGCCAAAATGATGGCAAGTAGTTGATGCTTGCCCATATGCAGGTTTGCAATCGATTAGAAAATGAGGGTGAATAGAGAAAATGCTTATCCGCACTACTAATTGAAATGACTTGAATATCAACATATTTGAACATATTCGCAAACCGACCCGGAATCACTTTTAGTTCATGCTTTATTACGCCGCCTTCCTTGGGATCTTCCTCAGGAAACCTTGTCATTTCTTCTATAGTAGCAGCTGATTGTAAAATGCAACTCTGCCCCTTTCCTTAAAGTGTTTTTTCAATGAATCTACACCTTCTCCCCCGTTCACTCCAGCATGCGCAACACAATCTCTAACTGTGGAGTAGTAAATATAAAGATGAAGTTACCTTCAGAGAACGAGAGTTGTAGATGAAAATATAGAAAAAATATCCGTGTATTTCCAAGACTATTTTAGTTTCTTCTATGTTGTGGACGTACGCGCGGATAAATCAAACCGAAATTTAAACATTGTATTCTTAATCGGCCAGGGAATATTTGTGAAAATTTTTAGTTTTCTGCCTCCATGGCGGCTGTGGCGATTTCATAAAAATTATATGTCGAGATGGGTACATAACCTAAAGGACTCTAAACTCTAAAGTAAAGACTAAAAGTCACTAAAGGGCTAGACCACATAAAGAAAAATTGCTTATAGATATTGAAAGGATTTTGTAAACAAATTTTGCCAATATTTGTCGGACTTTTATATGGATGGCTTAAGGTATTTTTTTTGAAGATCAAAAGTTAAAAAGACCCAAAATGACACAGGCTGTCGTTCTACTGATAATAATATGGAAACATCGAAAATCTTTATTCATTTTTATTACTTTCATTTTCCCGCCTACTATTTTGGGAATCTGCATTGCATCATAACTTGGAGATTTTCATGTGCGCTTAATTTCTATCATTTTTATAAATAGTACGTTAGCACCAATTTGACTCAATGCTGAGACTGAGAAGACAAAGAAAACTAAAATAGTGATAAAAACGTTCGGATATATATTGCAAAGTCAAAGAGGAATCTCATGTTAATCCGGTATAAAAACATATCTAATGAATTTTTTAGTGCCAGATGTTGCAAACGAATTAACAAATACTCCGATAGTGCAAATTAAAAAAAATATATATATACTCACTAATTACATTTCTAATTTCGATAAAATACATCCTCACCGTAGGCATGCCAACCCGAGTGATGGGCAAGAAATTTCAATTTCAACAAAAAGTCAAGCTTACGACATTGAATGCCTTCGTACTATAACATCTCAAATCTTGGCAATTAATTCGAAAATATTTTAACTGCTAATATTGGCAACTCTCAACTTTTTCCCCCACAGAGGAGAGAATTTTTTATGGAAATTTCTTTGACTATAACCTTTTAGCTTTATTTTATTTTTCTGTTATTTTAAACTTTGCAATTCATTTAAATTTTCCGCACCTTGCACGGAGTTGACTTTTTTTTTGTGGAATCCTGTTGTTAAAGTTTTCTAGCCCTCAAAAAAGGAAAGAAAAAAACAGAAAATAATAAAAGCAACCCATGGAATTGCAAACACAGTTTTTCTTTGCCATTCTTCCATTTTCCGTTTTCTTTCTACTCCTCTCTCTCTCTCTCTCTCTCTCTCTCTCACTCACACACACACACACACACACACACACTTTGTTGTTCGCTTTCTTTATGCCATGCTTATTACATGCTTTGTCGTATAGATTTGATGAAAAACTTTATTATTTTTATTTTTTTTTTTTTTTTTTTTTGTGCACGCGGTTTGTCAAGCATCCACCGAAAGTAACATCTTCAAATACCAAGCAACGAAGCCGCGAACTCGGTACGAAAACCCGCAAAACATGGCAAATAAGAAAATTGTATTTGGCTGTGATGGAATTTTTTACACTCAACAAGTTTATCTTAAAAAAAAGGTCTATGTATATATGTATATGAAACATCGCCTCAAACTTTTTTTTCATTTGTCTGCAGATACTGTAAGATAGACCATTGAATATAAGTTCAAATTTTTATCGTGACACGTTTTGCGGGTTATGAGCAGCGACAAAAAAAAAAAAAAATCAATTTTCTAGGATTTGAAGAAAACAAAATAGCAACCGCCGCGAAAGAACTCAGAACTCAGAAAGTGCTTTTTGTCACATTACGAAGCCCAAGCCTTAATTTGTTCTTGACATAACTGCTTCGATGTTGCAAATGTTTTGCGAAAACAAATACACTTTCGTTCGTCGGTGATGAGTGTAACAATAACAAAAAATTGTAAATAATAACAATGACTAATAAAAATGAAAAGTTACAAGAATAACTACATTGTCGAAGTTGTGCATAAGAACTCGAACAATACTAACAGTAACAATAAGCAAAAGCAAAAGTCAGAAAAGAGCACTAGAAACAAAAGGAGAGCATAAACATGTAAACATTACAAAGAAAAGAAAACTTTGCTTTGCTTGCGTGTGCATCAAAAGCGCATCTATAATTTAGTTTATTAGTTTCCACACAGGCCTATATATATATATATCATGTTTCCATGTAACTACGAGAAAGTTGAAAACTTTTCTATTTGATAAAGCATGACGAATACTGGATATCCACCACTGTCTTAAACTAATTTATGAAGAATAAAATATGCATAAGCTACTCAAGAGTGTCTTAATGTCCAGGGTGTTTTCCATTATTTGCGGATACGCTTTTGTGCTCGGCGTGCTTGGCATTCAAGTTTAAACAGTCCCACTAATATTAAAACTTATCTGCAGTAATTTGGAAGTGATAAGATTGGACAGCTTATATCCTTTTTCGAACTCGACCCAAAGGTCATCAATCAAAACTATAAGCACAAGAAGCTTGAGTTTTCGTTTAAGTTTTCGACTGAACTGAAAGTCTTTCATTGATCAAAAGTACATCTACCGTAAGAGTGGGACACGATCCACCATTAAGTATTAATTAATTCTCATTTAGCCACAGAATAAGTATTAATTAATTCTCATTTAGCCACTAAAGCTAAGGCTTTCGGCTTTAATAAAAACTCTACCGCACTTGAGATTTGAATCCAAGGCCATTGAGTTACTAGTTGAGACTCTTGCCTACTCGGCCGCTCAGGCGGAAATTAATTAATTAATTAAGTACACAACACCACAACACTCATTCATTATCATCATCATTCATATAACGCCATCTCAAAATGCGGCTCCTCATTCACAACCTGTATGCTTATCAGCAACGCACATATAAAACAAAACAATTTCTTAATAAATAGTAAATCAGCCTTCCTAGCTTTACACCCGCAAGCTGTCGGGAAAATGGTCAAAACGTTAGGATACTTAGTATCTAATGTTTCTTTATTGTTTATTAATAAATCTATGTTTTCATACAAAATTTCTTAATTTCTTCAATTTTACAAATTAGCCTAAAATTAGGCCGCCATAATTTTTAAACAAAGCCCTCGGTAAATTCCCTGTTAAAAGGCAAAGCAAAGAGTTTCTCATAAACAATAGTCAACAAAATGGCAGCTCTGTTAAATGGTTAAATACCCAACTAACAACTTAAATGGTAACGCCATTCAGCTATGTTAAATGCCCAATTTAACAGACTGAACAAAGACCCAGCTCTGTTAAATGCCGTCGGGAAATTAACTCTTAATAAAATAAACAAGTTAATAATTATTATTTTAATATTTGTTTACGAAAGATTGAATGAAACGATAATCAAAGCAAAATGACATTAGTGTTTAGTGTTTTGGAAAATACGCGAACTAAACGCATTTAATTTTACAAGTTAGCCTAAAAGTAGACCGCCATAATTTTTTTTTTATTAACAAATTAAACAAAACAATAGCTAAATTTTCTGCTATTTGCAAAGCCGTTGGCAAAAGTCCCCAATTTGTTCCGCTTTTATAGCACCACTGCGAAAACGACGTTGTGATTAAATTAGTGCTATTATTACGGCGAATTAACTATTGTTAACTCGCTGAATGACTTTGAGGAAGAAGAAGGGGTTATACAATATTTCGTACAATTTTTGAAGGCGCACGTTTTTATTTACTTACCCTTAACTTAATTTTTAAAAGAAATATTACTTAAAAAATCGAAATGAAAGATCATCCAGAATTAACAAATTCAAGACCGGAATTTAAAAAAATACCCGAAGAACTAAATGAGGTGAAGAAAATAACATTTTTTCTTACGAATTATCCAGCTTATTTCGTTCATATATTACTTAGCACCTAGAAGCTTTGGGAGCTCCTCATATAAATTCTTTTAATGAAATGCTTAGTTATGGTCTGCAAAATGTGGTAAAACATATGCAACCACAACACTTTGAAACGTCAGTGGGAGAAAGAGTTGAGTTAAATGTTCAAGATATTAGAATTAGCAAGCCAGAGGTTCCGTCAACTGTTTTCGACGTAAAGGATCGCAATATTTACCCTGCTGAGACAAGACAATTGCAACAGACGTATGGCGGTACGTGTTTCATAAAGTTAAGCTGGAAGGTCAACGGTACGACGAAAGAACCTATTGATATAGACCTCGGTGAAATTCCCGTAATGCTTAAATCTAAAATTTGCAATCTGGGACCGTTAAAACCAGCAGAAATGATAAAGCGCGGGGAACACGATTCTGAATGGGGTGGCATTTTTATAATAAAAGGTCACGAGAAAATCATAAGAATGTTGCAAATGACACGCCGCAATTACCCAATAGCTATTGAACGTTCGTCTTGGAAAGATCGCGGTGCTCATTTTTCAGAAATAGGCGTGTTGATACGTTCAGTACGTGATGATGAGACATCATACAATAATGTTTTGCATCACCTCACTAATGGTACATGCAAATTGATGATTTCCAATTTGAAATTTATGGCCTACGTGCCCGTATGCTTGATCATGAAATGCCTGGTCAATTATACCGACCACGAGATTTACGTGCGTTTGGTACGTGGTTACGAACAAGATCAATACTATCTGTGTTGCATTCGTGAAATGCTCAGAGATATACACGAAGAAGGTTTGCATAATATCAAGGATTGTAAAGAGTACTTGGGTAAGGTATTTCGCTCGAGATTCCCGGAATTACCAACGTGGGCAACAGAGACTGAAATTGCTGATTTCATACTATCGCAGCGCGTATTGATTCATTTGCAGAAATACGCAGACAAATTTAACTTACTCGTGTTTATGGTGCAAAAACTTTATGAATGCGTGCGGGGAAATGCGAAAATTGAAAACGTTGATTCAGTGATGATGCAGGATGTGCTAACACCGGGTATGTGATAGTTTTAAAAAACAAAGAGAAATTAATTGGTTTTGTACGTTTCTTTCCCAGGTCATTTGTATCAAAAATTCTTAGCGGATCGCATCGACTTGTGGTTATCGTATGCGACAAAGACTATACTTAAGAAATTAGAGACGCCGGGTACGTTATTGGATGAAAAACTAATGGTTGCTTCTCTACGTAGTAGTGCAGGAATTTCGCGAGCCATGGAATCGTTTTTGGCTACCGGTAATGCACCATCACGTAGTGGTTTAGGATTGACCCAGAGTAGCGGTTTGGTGGTTATGGCGGAGAACATCAATCGTATGCGGTATATGTCACATTTTCGGGCCGTGCATCGCGGTTCGTTTTTCACCACAATGAGAACAACTGAAGCACGTCAATTGTTACCGGATGCATGGGGTTTTGTATGTCCTGTTCATACTCCAGACGGCACACCTTGTGGTCTTTTAAATCATTTGACAGTGAAATGTCGTGTGTCGGGGGTACCCGATAGAAAACAAGTAAAAGTAAGAAAGTAAAAAATTTTCTTTCCATATTAGCTGATAAATTATATTGAATTTCATCTTCAAGGTCATACCGAAAGCTCTAATTAGCATGGGCATGATCCCGGTAGATTCCAATTTATATGATCCAAACGCCAAAATGTTCGTGGTACTTTTAGAAGGTAAACATTTAGGTTACATACGTCAGGCAGATGGTGTGAAAATTGTTGATAATTTGAGAGCCTTAAAAATCGCCGGGAAATTGCCCGAAATGTTGGAAATCGCATACGTACCATACAAAGAAAAGGGACAATTCCCCGGCTTGTTTTTGTTCGTGGGACCCGCTCGCCTCATGCGCCCTGTGCGAAATTTGACTTTTAATCAAATTGAGTATATTGGTTCGTTCGAGCAGGTATACATGGAGATAGCTATCGATCCCGCCGAAGCCTATCCAAATTTCACTACACATCTTGAGCTATCGAAAGTAGATTTTCTTAGTAATTTAGCTAACCTTATACCTCTACCAGACTACAACCAATCGCCACGGTAACTATTTTCCTGTATTCGCTCGTTTTTGTAAATGCTTTACATTCCGTATATTTAATAGTAACATGTATCAGTGTCAAATGGCTAAGCAGACGATGGGTACACCGTGCTTGAATTGGCCTAAGCAAGCTGGCACCAAAATGTATCGTCTGCAGACTCCGGCTGCACCTTTATTTCGCCCTGTACATTACGACAATGTGGGCTTAGACGATTTTGCCATGGGCACTAATGCAATTGTGGCGGTTATTTCTTATACCGGCTATGATATGGAGGATGCCATGATTATAAATAAGTCTGCCTATGAACGTGGTTTCGCTCACGGTAGCATCTATAAATCAAAATTTTTTGAATTGAGTGGAACTTGCTATTTTGCTCGTAACCCGCACATGCCAGAGCTTCGCGAACGTTTAGATAATGACGGCTTACCTCATCCGGGCAGCAGACTTGAGTATGATGGCCCACTTTATTGGTACTTAAATTGCTCTTAACATGAACCCAAGAGTTTACAGTATTTTTTATTTTAGTTACTATGACACTGAGCAATCCATCTATAAAGTTGTTAATTTTGAAGAAAAAGAAGAAACTTACGTGGATAGTGTTCGTTATTGTGGTAGTTTCAATGTTAAAAGCCCGCGAATGGTATGCATTACTTTGCGTTTACCTAGGCGGCCTAATATCGGTGATAAATTTGCCTCGCGTGCCGGTCAAAAGGGTATTTGTTCGCAGAAATATCCCGCTGAAGATTTGCCATTTACCGAAACCGGACTTATACCCGATCTTGTGTTTAATCCTCATGGCTTTCCATCTCGTATGACGATTGCTATGATGATTGAAACAATGGCTGGTAAGAGCGCAGCCATTCATGGTATGGTCCATGATGCGACACCTTTTCGTTTTTCGGAAAAACATACAGCAATAGACTATTTCGGTAAACTACTGGAAGCTGGCGGTTACGATTACTACGGCAATGAGCGTCTTTATTCCGGTGTAGATGGCCGCGAATTAACTGCGGAAATATTTTGTGGTGTTGTGCATTATCAGCGCTTACGTCATATGGTATTTGATAAGTGGCAGGTACGTTCTACTGGCCCAGTAGATCCATTAACGCAGCAACCTATTAAGGGTCGTCAACGTGGTGGTGGTGTACGGTTTGGTGAAATGGAGCGAGACGCTCTACTAGCACATGGTGCTGCATTTTTGCTGCAAGATCGCCTTTTCCATAACTCTGATAAAACGCAAGTGCTAGCTTGTCATAAGTGCGGTAATATACTTTCGACTCAGAATAGGATGCTAACACGTAATACGGGACGTTTCGAATCCGCACCAGAAATTTGTCGTTTATGTGGTAAAAGTGATGAACTCGGTCAAATAGAAATTCCCTACTCTTTTAAATATCTGATAACAGAATTAGCCTCGGTCAATATAAATGCACGGCTCAATTTAAAAAAACTATAAAAATCGTAGTTAAAAGTAGGATATTATTTTCTGTTTTTCTTATGCTTATGTTCAGACGTTTACGAAAACAATCAGGGTCAATAATAAAATGTAATTAAGTTGAGACTAGAAAACTTCATAGACTTTTTTATATTAATAGAGAATATTTTTTCGATATACTCGTATTAAAATGATATGTAAATGAAATCACTAATAAAGGAAACCATTTAATTTATATCATTGAAAATATTCTTCGTAGGTAACAATTCTTGAAAGTGCAAGGTTGCGGTTACAAATAGTAGCGAAATATATGGTACTAAGCAGAAATAAACAAATCCTTTACGTAAATTTCGATTTGGTTGATTTAGCAATAACTGCCTTTCGCTATTCTTTACAGTTAGAATCGAGAAAGTCTTCCTTCAATACATTTGCCGTATGTTCGACTTTACTTTAAAATAAGCCCGCAAAAAAGTTATGCCAAGCCTTTCATTAAAGGGTGCTAAAGTGTTCATTGCTAATTACGGTTATATCGAATCGTATATCAAGTTTAAATCTACGTTGGCTATAGTTTGCAAGTTACATCCCTTTGCTTATTTTAAAAGTATTTTAGAGAAGAGTTGCCTTTATCGCCCTAAGGTTTTTTATAATGTTGATAAATATCTAGATCCAAGGTTTCGATAAATCGCTCCTGTTAATAGGTCCTTTGAGTGTTTAGACAGTTTGTTCATCTACCCGCCAATTGTCGTTAAAAAGCCTGTAAAATCTATCAAAGTAAAGAAATTCACAAAACGAAAAAGAAAAAGTAAAAAATAAAAGCATCGACATAAATTTAGAAACGATATCTCTCTATAAACTATCAATGTGTGTCGATATGTTGATTAGCTAGGATATTTACTATCCCATCCCATTTATATTTCATGCAGGGGATCGATATCGCCGACAAGTTTCATAGCGGTTTAAGGTCAAGTCAGCCCATTTTTCTGCAGAGAAATGAAAAATGTTGGCAGTCGTAGAAGGATTGATCGAAACATTTTTGATTTATCTATGCTTGTTACAAATGGAATGACAAATGTAATAAGCCATCAATGGAACAAATAAGTAGGGCTGAATAAAAGTAGAGAGCATTTAACTGTCTGCGAAATTACATAAAATTGGCAAGAATGCCGTAGTGGGGCAAAGCCAATCATTAGATACGCTATACCGCATCATTAATAATACACCAAAAGCTATACATTATTTTTTAAATTATATTGATTTATTTGTCAAAGATTTTATTATTTTCCAGTTGTCGCCGTTATAACAAACCACAAATCAGGAGTTGTCGCCATAGAAGGGTTTGCTTTCATAAGAGTTTCTATATAGACCCATGGCAAATTTTCATCATACAATATTACAAAATAGATCTTTTTGGCATATAAAGTTTTATTTTTCATTCGAACCCTTGTAAGGGTGGGAATCCAAAAGATCTTAGTGATCCAAATTCGGTAAAGTTAATTTTAGTGTCGAAATTTAGTGCGTTTTTATCATAAGAAGTTTCAGTTTCCTCACGAAATTTCACATAGCGAGTATATTAAAAATATTGCCACATCCGATCTAAAATTTTTACGCCAATTGTGTCGAAACATTATTAAGCGATTTTTGTCGCGAAATTCTAAAAAATACTTATAAATCGTTATATGAGGATTAGTCGAAAATCGATCCGATTGCAATTATTTTCGATCGCGCTCGTACTTGGCCAAAAAGAAAGCACGTCAGTGTACCAAATTTCATTAAAACATTTTTCCAATTGCAATCTGACGTCTGAACACAAAAATACGTGGACAGACGTCAGACGGACAGACAAGCTTAGAACAGTTCAGAAAATGATTCTAAATCGATCGGTATAATAAAAAGTGCGTCCAATGTAAGCTCTTGTAGGTGTTACCCATGTCCGAACAAGCTATACAACACCCTGTATCACAAGTGGTGTAGGGATTAAAAATCATCTGACGAAAGGACAAGAGGAGGTATGCTAGTTCCGTTATGGATTTAGTTATGTACACCCGATAAAGGTCCCAAGAATAGGAAAGTTTGTAAAGAAAACTAAAATTTATCGCAAATGCTCATAGAACACGTCTTCAAAGGCATCACTTACACTTGCAGCACTTGCAACTCAATAAAAAGGAAATAAAATACAAAACTTGTAAAAAATTGTCAAGAACTAAGGACGTGAATTGAGACATAGATCTTAACCTCATACACAGCGTCTTAAGCCTTTGAGGCTCCTTTGATCTTTGAAATGAAATTATTAATTGCATTTTGCTTAAATTTAACAGCTAACGCTAAAATAAAAAAAAATAAAAATATTATTTTACCGTTAGTCACTATGTTACAATTAACTCTTTTCAGTTTCGGAGCGTTACATGCTCGCATTCAAAAAGCAATTCCGTGTCTTGGACACGGGAAGTGCCCAAATGTGAGACAGGAATGCATCTCGAGGAACTGCATAACCTATTTAATAATTTCTTTACGAATCATGGACTGAATCAATGAAAGAAACCGCTCATCTTCGAAGTTATGTAAGTGATAGCCTGGGTGAAACGGGTGAAACGAACTAAACACATGTGAACATGCGCATTAAAGAATGATATGCAAATCGAGGAGGAGTCTTGAAATTGAACATTTAGCATTCATTCGCTTGCATATAAAATCGAAGTGAGTTTTTATTTTCAATTTTCCAGATATGAAAACAATCGAATGTTATTTTCCATTGCTCAAGTCTTTTCTTATATTATCACAGTATGGTAAAAAGCCGTAATTGTGAAAATAATAATAATTTGACATAAGAATTGAATTTGAGACACTTGAGTCTATTGCTTAGACTCTCCGCCCTCTATAAGAATGCACGTGAATAGTAAAGCTCTTCACAAAACTTTTATTACCGAAAAAATTAAACGATAGGGAATTTGGATCACATAGGCCTACATTTTATTAACTCTAACATATATAGAGATTATCATGGAAAACAAGCTCTTATGTGCAGAGAAAATCTAATTTTTAGTTCTTTGTGACGGAAATCGGAAAATAATAAAATTTTCGGGAAGTAAATTAAGTTTGTTTATTTTGGATAACGGCATATGATGTTTTGGGCATTGTCCAAGAAGCGGGCTGTCATGGAAAGTGTGACTTTGCATGACAATAAATAAAATAAAACGAGTGACTAACTGTACTAGGCGTAGCGGTGTAGGGTATATAATTGCTCGACTATTTAATTTCAATTTTCATCAATTTATATTAATATTATCAATAGCATTTAATATTATTTTCGTTTTAATAATAAAAATTATTCATTAATTTTGTTTTCATATTTTGTATATATTTATTTATTATTATATTGTATATTTATATATATATAGTTACAATTATGTATCTCTTCTTTAGTCGTCAACGCAATAGAAAGGAAAAAATGTAGTCTAGGAAAAGTTTTTTAATATAAAATTATTTATTAATGTGTTTTTGATAATAATGGCAATAAAAAAATAATTTATAAAGTTCATATATATAAAATAAAATAAAATAGCAACAGAAAAAAAAAAAAAAGATCATAGTAGACTGTTTTCTAAGACCACTCAAAAACATGCAGAGCTTTAAAAATTGTTTTTTTTTTTTTTTTTCTTTAAATTTTATACAACAATATTATATTAATTGTTTTATAAATTTATTTTAGATTAATATGTATCTTTTCGCTTAACAACAAATAATTTTCTTTGCCAACATAGTTTTTTTTTTGCTTTTTTTTTTTTTTAATAATGTATTTGTCTATGTAGGAGTTTTGAGGTGTTTTTTACTTTTAATAAAAAAAAAAGATATTCTTTTTTTTTTTTTGTTTTGTTAAATAAGGTGGATTTAATTTTTAACATTCTTTTATTTATTTATGTATATGTTTTAATTAAATAACATTTTCTTTATCTCAAGCTAAAATGACGAAAAAAGAAAAAATGCATATCTCTCAATGTATCGTTTTTCTGCACGAGCAGAAATCTTTTGGTTTACCATCTGCCATCATCAAAATATCATCAAAATTAAATTCATTCAAGTTAAAATTTAAAACAATTACATATATAAAATTACTATCTATAAGTCGCTAAGACTTTTCTACATAGAGATTCTAGAAAACCTTACTATTTCTTCTCTTTCACGACGGAAATTAAAGTGATTAAGTTACCATTTTTAGTACATTAGACGCTTACCGTCGATAATACCTTGGCCAGAAAGTGACCCGCGCAATTTAATTTGAATATTGTTCTTACTTTTTTGACACAGTAGTATGTTTTGATTTTTTATACCCCCTACCCTTCATTGAAACGTGAAAACGTCTGTAGTATCCATAAAGAAGCTTCATACACCCTATAAAGTATTTATACGAAATCACAAAATCGTTTTAGGTATATATGTCTGTGCAATGGTGTCTCGATCTGTAGTAAGATATCGCCTTCACTTTTGCCAGATGTGCCAAAGATTGGAAGTTCTTGGAAAGATTGGTATAGAAAATAGGCTAAAGGACAAGCCTGATGTACGGTATGAATTGAGAATGCCTCTGTCTTTAAAAAGAAAAAAAAAACGGTATTTTCGCTGGTTAATCATAGTCTACAACAGATGTAAGAGTGTAAAAGTGTTCATGTATGTTGTGTCGATGAGAGCTTTGTAAAAATGGAAAAAATCTAAACACGGCCATGGCGATATGAAAAAGTATCAAAACTTCGTTTCTATAGTTTTCTCGAGGATTTTTTGAGGTAAAGGCTGCGATTATTAAAGATGTGACCGTAGACGAATATAATTTTTCTGTTTTTTTTTTTCTTTTGATTATTCTAAAGCATGTATGCACAGGTGGAAAAAAGTTGGAACAAAAAAAAGTATTCAACATTTGAAACGCAGAGACAAGAACGATCAAGTTTTTTTAATTTACGGATGCATCTACTGGTCAATAGGAATCATTTTATCGCTATGCATTCACATATACTAATAAATGCATTAAATCTTAAAACGTTACTTGAGTAGGCTAATATTTTAATCTTGACACGCTTTTTTCAATGTCCCGATATTGTAGGCGTCACTTTCTCGTTCCAGTGGAAGTGAAATGCCACGAGTAACATTTCTCACTTTATTCGGCAGGTTGTAAAGTAGTTCGAGTGTAAATTACACAAATCGGGCATGTCATTATCAATTGAGGGTATATGTGGCGACTTTAAAGACTTTAAAGCGCAATATGTCGAGAGAGATTTTGACATTATTCAAGAATAGCTACACCTGATGGCGTCTTTAAACATTTAACTTTGCCGGACGAGTGTATACCTTCATCCATCCATCCGTCCTTGTCGGATTTCCTTATAAGATTTTATCGTTCTGAATATGTATATAACATATTAATGTACTTTAGAAAGTATTTTTGTCATTTTGTCAAATCACTTCATTAAAACCTAATTTCAAAATAAACGCACACATCGTGTTAAAGGCATTAACCAAATTAACTAGTTAATGCGTTCGTCTAGATTTCGTAATGCGAAATGAATCGTAGTAAAGATATGATAACTAAGAAAACCATTCTAAACATAAAAATTTTTTTAAACTGCGTAACAAGCGTAACAAGTTGAACTTGATATTTATTTAAATGAAATATTGACAATGTTTTGAAATTTTGGCCTTTTTCAAGATTGCTTGTGTCCTATGCAAAGTTGACCTGTTAGCACTATTTAGAACTACATAACGTAGGTTTAAGAAATCTATGGCAATTTTGTGAGCCATTAAGATTTTAATAGCAGACAAATTGTCGTGAGAAAAGCAAGCAGATTTGGCAGGAAAGGGGTCGAAACGTTATTCCTACCTAGAATATATATTACTTTATAAGATATGCCATACGAAATGGCGAAACCAATATACCCTCTAGTCGAAATAAAGAAAGAAATGCTTCAAATGTATTTTTGTTACTGACAGACAGACAGACAGACAGATCGACCATCACTAAACCGAACAAAAATCTCATATCAATTAAATATGTATACATGTGTATATAGAACTTGTGTATATATGTTCATCATCCGATGCTGGAATTAAAAATAAATGTGAAGGTAATTGTTATAGAATTCCATTAAAAAAAGAAGAAAAAAAAAGAAAAAAGATTGTCATCGTTTTCGTTTTTACACATGATATACTTGATGAACTTGGGATGAATAAATTTTTATGATAAGCGATTTTTCCTTTTTTTTTTTTTTTTTTTTTTTTTAAATTTTACAATTCGAGCCGTATATGTAAGTATCTTTTAGATAACTATAGATAGAGTGAGTTATATGTATTCTTATAGTTTAATAATAAGTTACAAAGTTCACATTGTAGTTTGGGTGTTGTTGTTAAAGAGCATCATCATGTTTGAGTAGAAGAAAAAAGTTTTTTTAATTAATTTGGTTGTTTTTTTTTGTTTTTTTTTTTTTGTTTGCTTTGTAACTAAAGAGGATTGTGCTGTCAGTGTAGACATGTATGTCTTCTTTGTCTATTACACCCTCAATTTTTAAAGTTTTTTTTTTTTTTTTGTTTTTTTTTTTTTTTTTTTAAAATTAAAACAAATTTAAAAATTTAGTTTTAATTTATTTATATTTTCGATTTCCATTTTTGTAAATTTTAATATTTAACTTGAATTATATTTAACTATATTTTATTTTTTATTATAGTTTTTCTCCACCATACACAAAAATGTCGTTGCAATTTTTTTAACTTTTTTTGTTTTAAGTTTATTGAATACATCCTTTTATTTTTTATATAAATTTAATAATTTCTTTATGCACTTAAAATTGGTCTGTAAGTAATTCACATATCTCTCGTGTAACACTCTCCTTGCTGGCCCTTATTGTTAAACGGAACATCTAAGCAAACACAATAAATGAAATGAGAAACGTAAGCGATTTTTCCAAAAATCGATAACGTTTTATTTAATATCACTAACCTGTGCTTGCTTGTTGGGTTCTAATCGTAATAGACAGCCTACTTGTTGCGTTTGAGTGTGTATAATGCCGGCACATACCATATTATCTGGATTAGGATCTACATTATCTAATAATTGCATACCAAAGCCCGTTAGCTTATTACGTGCACCGGGTAAATCTAAAGGCTGTTGAGCTTTGAACACTTTCTGAGCCCTTTGTTGATCGCTGATATGTTAAACAAAAAAAAAAAAAAAGGTTATAGATACATATATGAGTAAGAGCATGTTGTGTTCTTTCATTTTTATCTATTTATTTATTTTTTTTTATTTTAATGTTTATCCTTTACTGACCCACTTAGATTTTTCCATCTGGCAAAGAACGAATCTGCATTCATTTCCGTTGGCTCAAAAAATTTATTTATAGTTAACGGTAGCTTAATATTAAACTTCTGCTGGGCACCGTTGTAACGGAAATTTACTTCAATTGTCGGTGCATCCGCGTAGTCTTCTATACATTCAGCCGTCAAAAGCTGTTGTATTTGTGCGCCAGCCTCTAATGTTGGCTCAACCGGTTTCATTTGAACGTTCAACTTTAGAGCATTATCTGATTCCCATTGCAAAGCCGGCACGAAATTCTACAAAATCAAGTTTTCATAGAAATAATAGATTACAACTTATCTTACTACAGCTGGCACGGATGAAGAGTTTTTAAAATACTTAGGTTGTTGATATATTCTTTTTGAATTTGGACTTTACTTATGCACTTATGTTATACACATTGGGTGCAATAAGCGACATTGTCGACATCATTTCAAAATTTATGTTTAATTATCGTTTATGTGTATTATACCTTATCACAATTTGTGGTACAAGGGTATACTAAGCTTGTGCGCATGTATGCAACAATCAGAAGAATTTCAGCTAGATTTACTTTCTATTGTATCAATCAATTCAGAATCATTTCTCCGCCCGTCCGTCTGTCCTGTTCACTTGTTTTATTGTATTCAAAGTCCCAAAGTTTGAGATGTTTTGGTAAAATTCGGTACACTGACGTGTTTTAGCCCAAGGAGGAACTTTATTGAAAATGATGCGAATGGAATCGCTTTTCTGATCATACTTAAAAACCTTAAAAACTCATTATATAAAGAACTGTATAGTGGCGTAGCCTATTTAGTGGTGGTATCTGTCTCGCTATTGTTTTTTTTACTTGTTTTGTTAAATAATTGATTTAAAAATTCTGTTTCAAAGTGTTTTCACTCATTATTTACCAATGGCTTTGATCAAATCAAAACGATAATTGTATGGGAGACAGTCTAAAGGTATAGCTCAAAAATGATTGCAAACTATTTTAAATGTCGAAGCTTGGTACGGTCGTTTCGAGTGGCATTCAAAGTTTTTTTCAAATTTTCTCATATGCTCTATCTAATTTCAATTAGATTTGACGACCACTTACCGTCAAAGGAATTTGCGTTTTATTGCCATAAAATAAGCCCAAACGTCCTAAATTCTGCCGGAACTCACTCTTAACACCGATTTGTAACATTTCATTTTCGAATAAAACGCCATTGTTCTTGAACAGGAACTTTTTGGAATTATAAACGGCTGTATTATTATTGGTACTACCATATATATCGCCTAAAACGTCAATCAAGGTACCGCTATTGGTGCTATTGTTTAGCACATTATTAGACGGTGGTGTACTTAAACCCAATAAATCGGTATTGGCGTTGCTGTTGACTCTAAAATAAATAAAATAAACATTAAAAGGATAGAATAGAATAAATAGATATAAATAAATATTTACTTGTGATTAGTAAGTGCATTATTCTGTATTGTATTTGGGGCCGGACTCTTTGATTCACGTATCTCATTTTCAGGCACTCGTCCTGGTTTTTTCTTCTTTAGCACCGCCAGTATGGAGCTTTCACGTTCTGGGAATGAAGGCATTTCTTCCAAAACTGTAGCTAATACATCCGTGCTAGCTACAATACTCAGTTGTAAATATTCGCTGGCTCTTTGCTGAAGCTCGGCATCAGCTGAACGTAAATTACTATCTTGACGGAATACTTCCTGTATATTGGTGCGTATTTCAGGGAATAGATTTATAAACTTAATATACGTAGACAGGAGCAGAGCTCTTGTCATAGGTGAGCATAGATGATATTTTGAATGTAACAGTTTAAATTGTACCAAAGGAGCTGAACGTGAATCGCCGGCAATGAGATTACCAAATTCTCCTAGTATGTAACCGCCCACCTTAACCATATTCTCATGACAAGCAGGTGCTTGGAGGGCTTCGAAAACAGTCTTCGCAGCATAACCCTGAACTTCTTCGCGATTTATAACAATTTGTATGACGCGATACCAGACTTCTTCAGACACGTAATCGCCAGCGATACGAATAAGATTGAGTATAACGTCAACGTACCTATTAAAAGGGAAACGTTACTGCCACATAAACATTGTATAAACGACATAAATGCTAATAAGTAAAAAACATAATAAATAGTGTAGTAAAAGCTAAGCTAAATCATATTCGCCCGCGCCGAGTCTTTTATACCCATCGCCGTTCTTACGGATCAATAATATGTAGACCTTATATGGTCATTGAAGCTTCTTTCGTGAATGCTACGTGCACAGTTTACTTTTGCAGGTGCTGCCAGGTCACCCAAACATACAATTACACTTATAAAAATTTTTGGCGTTGTATCTATTGTGGCTTATGGATAACGTGCGAAGACAGAGATGGTCTGAGTTTATATTGTAGTTTCAGTACCAAACTACGTGCAGGCACTTTCAACCTTGGTACCAAATTTGAAGCCTATTGCCGAGTTTTTGCGACAATGAGAATTTCTATTACCGACAGGCAGAAAGACAGACATGATTGAATTTAATGATGATTAGGGTTAGATATATGCCTCATGGGGTCTCTTAGGCTTCCTTCTGGAAATCGCAAACGTTTTCACAAAATCAATACACTCCCCGTCCTTCGGTGGTAGGTAAGAAAAACAAAACAATAAACTTATATAAGCCTGGGAGCGAATCTGTGTTGTTTACAGATCAAAAACAAGTAAAATCTTTATAGTAGGACACGGCTCACCATTAAATAGCCTCCATCACTTGAATTAACACAGTTGTCCATATAACGACATTTTAAAATAAGGCGCTATGTGGAAATCGGTCGAAAAAGTAGGTCGATCTGACCCAATTTCAATAGTGTTTGTTCTTAGGCCACAACTTGTCAGTGCAGCAAATTTCATCAAAATATCTCAAAAATTGTGACCTATAGATTTAACTTAGGAAAGCAAGACGGATAGGCAAGCTTGGAACGAATGTTATTCTGAATAGACCGGTATAATAGAAGGCTTATCTGGGTGCTGCATACATCACACGACACAAATCTCATATATTCTGCAACCACAAGAAAGGTACTGTACAATTACTACTTAAATGAGAACATCAGGGCCCCAAGTCTTCGTTTGTAGTAGTAAAAAATATTGTAGTTGTAAAAAATATTTGGAGTCTTTTGAAATATGTTTTAAAAGTACAATTGGATAGATTGTCAGTTCTAACTCTATAACTTTTCCCGCATATATAAAGGCGATAAAAAGGGAGAAGGGAGGAGAATTTCCTTCGACCCAGTCGAGTAAGAAGATAAAATGCTATATTCTTCAACCGTATTTAACGAGCACGTAATCCTCTTTAACATGGAAGCTATCTTTTAAAATGGTTCCCGGAAACGATCCTGACCAAAGAACTATATAAACCTGCTAACCCATAAGCCTATTGTAGCAATCCGCTTAAGCTGTTGTGCAAATCACTAAAAACTGTATTATGTAGTGAATAATGAAGTACAAACCAAGTGAAATCAGTTGCGTATTTTTCTGCTAAGATCGCCACTTTTAGGACCATTTCCTCACGTATAGAGTAATCTGCCGTTTCTAGGTAATTTAACATCTCCTGAACAATTTCTTCGGCATTACTGCGATCACACATAGCATACAACAAGTCAACTGCCATCTGACGTACCGAAACATCCTTTTCCATCTATAGAAAATGATAAAAATTAGTAATAATTTTATAATTGGGTTTGCGATCTCTCTTAACCTTCATCGATAGGATAACCACTTCTTGATGTTTCTTAACTTCTTCATGGGAAAATTCCGAAGTAGCCAAATGGCACATAGATTCCAAAGCCAAGTAACGTAAATTTGTTTCGCGATTACTTAAAAATTGACCCAACTGATTGCAAGCACGCACCAAAAGAGTCGGTTCACTATCGCTGTGTATAATGAGATTGATAGCCTCAAAGAGTACCGCATTTTTGGCATTTGAATGTTGAACTTTTTTACTTTTCGGAGGCTCTTGCGCCTTATTCAATATCGTTTCCAACGTTTCGTTTAGACGTGCCCTCACACCGGGCTCTTCAGTTACAGGATTATAATTTTGTAATAAACGCAATAGTTTCACAGACAACCACGGTGCCGGTACAAAATAATATGTATAATCTTGCAAATCCGTATAACTGGCGGTTACAATACGCGATAAACGAGAAACGGCCAAATTAACGCAACCTTTATATTCTTCAGGATTACGTTTAACCAAAGCATCTATCAGCGATGTGGCAGCGGTTACCACACCCATATGCTGATCATTGAGCAAATGAATAATACGAGAAGTCCACTCTCCGCCTGGTATAATTTCAGGGCTGGAACGGAACAAACGCAAAAGGCAAAGTGCCGCTGATTGCTTCACTACATCCATGGTGTCTCTGCAAAAAAAACGAAAAAAAAAAAAAAAGTCAATTTTCTTCTACTTTATAAGCATTATTATGATAAATAAATACTCACCCTGACACCAATAGCTTTGGAATTTCATTGGAAAATGATTCAGCCATATCACGACTGCCGATATTAGCAATGCACTGCAAAGCTAAATTCACATGGACCGGATTTCGTGATTGCAAATCATTTTTAATCGATTGTATAATCAAACGTATCAAATCGCTATTAGTATTAACCAAAACTGAAATGAATAGATAGCCCTGCGAAGCATAAATAATTATTTATTAATAAAAAAAAAAAAGAAAAGCACATTAAGTAAATTGGCAGACAACGAAAATCACTTACAATTTGTTTTTCTGAATACTTATTCGATGATAATAAATTAACCGCCTCCATGTGTCCAAAATCAATATCATGCCCCAGCAAAAATATGAACAATAATTTACAAACATATTTCTTTTTTTGATATCCGTCCAATGTTTTGTCGCCTTTGAATTTACTACGTATATTGGCCAATTCTTTATTGATACGTTTAACTTCGGCCTCTTTGCTTTTACCTGCAAAAGAAAATGATAATAAAAAAATAGCAATAATCTGAATAATAAGTGAAATTATAATGAAAAGATTTTAAGACTAAGCGTTTAACTTAGATTGTCTTGACTTAAAAAACAAAAAAAAAAAAAGGTGAAAAAGCGTTTGTTAAGGTCAAGGCAAGAGAAAAACGGAAATGAAAAATTTCTATTCAATATCGAATGTGCTTTGTAAGAGACCGTGAGACACATCCTTCTAAAACTTTTTCTGCTAAATATTTATGACAAACTTTTTTCCAGTTTATAAGCTATCAATGATAACGGTTATGAACTTCTTTGTCTGTCTGACTATTGCAGGTGTATTCTTGATTCTATTATGTGTTTGTGTTTAAGCTTTAAAGTTTAAGATCTGCTATCATATAAAGTAAGGAATGAAAAGGACATGATATCCGGACATCTAGAAAGACTTTTAAAAACAAAGTGATGATTAGACCAATTACTTACCCTACTCGTCGGATTGACGTGAGAGAAGTGAAAGAGGGAAGGGATCAGAAAAGCGCCCACATCGTAACAGGTGTGCGCCAAATTGGTAAGTATTCAATATAATTACAGTAAACTTCAAATTTGAACCCGCAAATACAGACTTGGTAGTCCACCACGATCTACACGACTACTCGTACGAAAATGACGAAGGGATTTACATTTTTAAATCCCACTTTTCAACGGTATATTTAAGAAAGTTTTCTATCTTTTTAAAAATATATATTAGAAAGAAAAGCAGAAGAAGAAAATAAAGCAAGTATCTAAGGAAGTCAAATGTGTGACTTTATGAATATCTGTAGTACTATAATTGAATTAATATGCTTTATGAAATTTGGTGGTAAGAGGGGGAGAATGGGGAGGAGACTTCTATTACGTTACATTTATAATTAGAGCATCAGATACGCAAGCAGTAGTAGGTATTCATTTCTCACACGTATAAAAAGCTATGTACGCGTATTCACAAGTCATTGTTTGGCGCTAAAATGGTCACTCATATTATTTCGATAATCTTCGTGTAAAAGCAAGTACACTCAAGTATTGAATTACACAATATATGCCCTTCGAAAGATTATTCAAAACCAGACGAAAAGGCAAAATTCGTAAAATATATAAAGATATAGTCAACTAAACCGCAAATCGATTGAATCGATTTGAATGAATAAATTAGTAAGCCATGCAAGATATACGCCTGAAAACTCCTGACAATATGCTCTATATTCCCCGCCCAGAAAAGCATTGCAAAGTTGCTTCAAGACTGAGTTTTTCAGCCTCATTAGATAAGATCCTGCAAAGCAAAGTTCCATTAGCTTTTCAGAACTGGAAACAAAGTTGGGAATAGGCTAAAAGACAAGTAGTAAAAACACTATAGTAGGCGACCATCTACAATTAAATACCCTAATCCACTTCGTTTAATACAGTTGTTCAAGTAATGAATTTTCAAAATAGAGCATTATTTGCGAAGTGGTCGCAAAGGAAGTGCGAGCTGTGAGATGAATACTAGAACACAGGGCGGACGGAAAGACACATATGTGGATCCATCGCAAGTCTCCTGGCTGTTATATGCATCCGCAACATATTTTACAAACTTAGCGGTGCCATGTAGAAAGCATCAAAGAAAGAACAGTGGGATTCCAAATTTGGACATAAACTGAACCTTGCCCCAAAAACCAAAGAAAAAGCAATAATCATCGCAGATAGTTCGTCGGTCATAAAAACTATCCAAGCTTCCTTAAATTCCACTGTTGCGGTATCATCAATTGCAATGGCAGAAATCAATCTTCAAAAATATATTTAAACAAGTGAAAACGTTATAGTCGGGGTAACCAGACTGTTAAATACCCTGCGCCAACTTGTCAAACCTTATTTTTACCATAGAACAGAACGATAATATCCTCTTTCTATATCAACTTATTATTATGGAACTGTACATTCAATATTAGATCTCTTTGCGAATAGAGACTTGCATTTCATAAGAATGGTTTGTACCTAAGGGGTCCAAGAATTGCGCTACGTATTTAAAATTCTCTAGAATTAATTTTTACATCAATCTACTGTTATGCATCAATTTTTATTTATGCCCTAAAAAACGAACATTTCCGTGCAAACGTTTAAACAGGGTAGGATCCAAAAATAAATGTGGACGATCTAAAATTGGTACAGTTAAGTTTTTCATCTTAACTTACGCTATTCATCAGGAAGCGTTGAAAATTAGATCTTTTTGCCGTATGAACTTCACTTTTAGTTTAAAATATTGCCCCAACCGGTCCAAAATTTTTTTACCAATTTAGAATGCCAATGTACTATGACTACTGCAACTATTGTCAAGAAATTTTGAAAATTGCAATTTTTTCCATATAACGATTCTTGGGAATATGGCTTTGTTTGGAAGTGGGGAGTGGTCGAGAAAGTGGACTGCTCCAAACCATTTTCAATAGCATTCGCCCTCTCGTCATTGTACCAAATTTCATCAAAATATCTCAAAAATTGCAACGTGTAGCTTGAAAACAAAATTGCATGGACAAACATCAGACGGACATACTGGCTTATAATAGAAGATGGGTCCACTTTAAGCGATTCTGCGCGTTACATACATCCGCACAAACTTGCGAAAATTGACGAAAAAGATCGACAATGCTATCCTCCGCACCACTCGCATGTGAACCTTAACCCCTTTCAACAAGGTCGAAAAATCAAGATCATTACGTTTCCAAAAAATCGTCTTAAGTCACTCTACGAGTAAAAAAGCATTATGATTTGTGAAAGTTGAAGAGCTTCCCCAAAATTCAAAGACTCGTTTTCGGAGCTTCGAATCCCATTGACATTTTGAAAGTACCTGGGGAACGTAGCTTAACTACAACTAAACAACAATTATTATTATTCAAATTTTAGACTAATGAAATAAGTTCTTAGACTAAAAGAAAAAAGACATAGGACGCTAGCAGGCTATCGGCTCTAATGTATAAAAGTACATTAGATATTGAGCCCAGTAGTTTTAATAAAGTAATATATTGTATTGATATTCTGCTCTGTAGCTGATTGCAGAATGTCCATAGCATTAGTTCCTCCAAATGCAATAATTCTAGCCAAGGAAAAGTTAAAGCAGGTCACAGAGAATGTGCTCTATAGTGAGAATTAGTCCACAATCGCATATTGGGGAGAATGACGTCTTTAAGATCCATTGGTGAGTTGCAATTGCATAGACAAGGCGCCGAATTCTCGAATATGTTTGGATCTTGATTTTCTCAACATTTGTTGGATATGAAGGTGGAATTAATTGAGGGTTAATAGAAGGGTAGTGCCGATAATGGTAATGTAGATCTTCTTCTGTAATTTTCTCTTTAACCTTTCTTCCATTGTGTCTTTGAAGATTCAACTTTTCCATGACATCATCTGCAATTAAAGAAGCAGAAGACGCATACTTCGCTGTTCGATCAACCTTCTCACTTCCCAATAAATCGATATGACTTGGTACCCGAAGCATTTTGATTTTTTCGCCGGGTATTGTAATGATATTCCTTAATTTGTTGATGGTGCTCTATCTCGAAGACGAAGGATTCCGTATAGCTTTTAATACTGACAAGCTATCAGTAGCAATGACGATTTTGAGGTTGTCTTTATGGGAAATGTTCGCAGCTTGAAGGATAGCTCTGGCTACAGTTGTGAAAGTTTAAGTATTTGATTGAGAAGAATCTGTTCTGAAGCATCTACCAGAGCACAAGCAAATGGCAGATCAGAATATTTTAAGCCATCAACTAGACTAAACATTTTCTTCAAAACTAGAGTTGATAGCCTTAGTTGCCAGTGCTCATACTACTTCAGTCCTGGAATTTATTTCTTTGCTGTAAACAATAATAATTATAACAGTCTCTATTTAAACACCAGGAAAAGTCACGAGCAATGTTCTTATAAATGGCTCAGCAATGGCTGAAACAACATTCTTTCCACAATTTGGAAATTTGATTATCCGCACTGCAAGTAGTCATAGAAAGATAATAAGCTTTACATGTGGAAGTTATATCTTTTCTTTAGACCTGAATAATCGAAGTAATGTTTAAGGACAAGAGCAGAATTTTACATAATGTTATAGCAATTCGTACAAAAAGGGATTGGCATTAAAATGCCACAATGGAATTTGGTTGGTTGCTACATTTGCTTGTGAAAGGTTATATAAGCAAAATGTATGCTGAAGGGAAAGTTCTTTGACCCAAGAGAGTCGAATGGTAATATTCGAACAAACAAGACTGGAAGACGATGAAAGAGTTGTATTGTGAATACTTTGTAAATAGGTCTCCGAAGAATTGACAATAAAATCAATTCTGTCCTAAAAATCACCATTCAGTTGGTGCCGCGTATCAAAAGAAGTCGGATAGATACGTTAAATCACAAGAGACCTTTTAAAAGGCGAAATGATTGGGCAAGCGAATTATGGACCTTAGGACAAAATAACTTAAACGCAATCCGCCTGAGTGGCCGTGTGAACAAGAATCTCGACTTGCAACTCAATGGTCGTGGGTTCAAACCTCAAGGGCGGGAGAGTTTTTAATAAAGCCGAAAGCCTTAGATGCTAGTACTTTAGGACTTTAGTCTTAGAATTTATTCTCTGGCTAAATTTATAATAATACTAATAGTAATAATAACTTATACGCACCAATAGGCAGAAAGTTGAATTAAGAAGTAAATAAACTTCACATTACAAAATTTACACCGAGGCTTGACGCCTCTATTGCTATTTGTACCAAGGGTGGTACAAATTTCATCTTTTTTATATCTTTTATTATATCTATCGATTAATTAATAGTAGGGAATTTGAATTACATAGATCTGTTTTTTAGACTATAACATATTTAGAGGTTATCCTAGGTTAGGAAAAGCAAGCCCTTGTATGGATAGAAAGACCAATTTCTAGTTTCTTTTGACGAAAAAAGAGAGATAGTAAAATTTTTAGGAAAGTTAGAACGTTTGCTATATTTGGATCACGTCGTGTAATGCTTCGTAAATATGATTAAAGAAAAATTAAAAAAAAAACTAAAGTCAAGCAGAAATAAAACAGGGAGCAGGAGAAAAATAAAAGGATGTAAACACCTAGGACAGATTCAAGGTGAAAGTGAGCCCCTAAGTTTTTGCTAAGATGTAAAACTGGGGCAACCGATAATAGGAAGTAAATTCGGTCCAATTTTCGAACTATATGAAGGTAGTAAGATTGAAATTCAATTTAGATACGACATAGACAAAGAGAGCGTATTAGGAAGACTTGATTTAATATAGATGTCATTTATATTTTTACAAAGGACACTGGACGGGTTGATAAGTTCGTAATTATATTTACAAAAAAAGCGATTCCGAGCATTGGGGTTTATTTCACCAAGCAATATCGGCGAGCCAAAAGTACCATTCATTGATTGAACTAAAAAGGAAACGTCAAGAATAAATCCACGTTTCTTAAGCAAAAGCAATCTAATTTCATAAAGTGGCAAAGAGACAGCGCTTTCCGGCCCAAATTCCTAAGACCAAGGAGAAGGAAATGCTTTTGAATAGACTCAATTGAATCTACATAGCTCCTGCAGGAGGAGAGACTATTCTCTTATTTTTTACCTATTTTTCAGAAATATAAATAAATTTGAGTTTAATTTAATTTATTAATTAACACTAATAATTAATAATAACAATTCAATCGTATCATTACCATCATTGAGAATTGATATGCCAATATGACTATACAGTCTCTTTCGGCAGAGTTGTGAACAACATAAGATATCAATATAAGTAACATAACTATATCGCATGGCATAAAGTACTAAACCAGGATACCGATGTGATTTATAAATTATAAAAGACCTTTATAGCTACTTTAAACCTACTCAGGCTAACAATCATATCATTTTGACATGGAGTAGTGACGAGTTCCATAACCTTGCAGCGTTAACAAAGAATAGTCTTGATGATGTTAAGGAAAATTGTGGTCAGGCAGAATTAAATTCATTGTCGACTCAGATTGCGCGAACTGAGTTTTCTCTTTATGCATAAGAAAACGAAAGTGAAGGGTCATCGACATTTGAATTTCATGCTCGTGCGGTAAAGGCTTAATTTCTAAAACAAAGAAGAACGTAATGACACACTTTAAAAGATATTAGAGATTTTCATTTAGATTTTTCAACAGTTTTTATTGAAATATACATTGAGTGTTAGGCTTGGCGTGGAATTAAGAAAGTAGTTTTGAAAAGAAAAAGCTCTTTTTATCCTACACCGCTTGCGGTACAAGGGTACACCAATTTTGTGCGGATGTGTGCAACATCCGGAAGCAATAGGTCGATCGATTCAGAATCGCGTTATGCATCGATCTAAATTTATCTGTCCGTCTGTCTGTCTTTTTTTTATATTGAAGGAAGCAATTTTTAAGATATTTTGATGAAATTCGGTTAACTAACGTGTCTTGGCCCAACGATGAAAGCTTCTCAAAATCACTTTTCGATCACTTCCCCTATAACGTTTCATTACGAAAAGTCGACTAATGGATAGCTATAGTGTGCTGTAAAGTACTTAATGGTGGGTAATGCCCTACTATATTGTTTTTACTTATCATTATTAAAAATGCCAAATGGCACAATATCGTGCACAGTTAGGATGAAGTGTAAAAAAAAAAAATTTAATGCTAATTAAGCAAAAAAGTTTAGTAGAAATAAAGAGATGAGAAAAGTTCAAACGATTAGTGTGATGACCGGCTACAACAAGTACAATAAATGAAGGATTTTATCGTAAGTTTTTCTTCACAATGCAAAAGAAATTTATGATGTAATACTTACAATTTCTTATGTCCGATATGAATACCGCTAAACCACGCATGCCATCCCCCCGCACAGGTGCCATTGTTGTTAATTTGTTAATTTTTGAAGTTTTTTAAAAAACTGGCAAAAGTGAAAAAATCTTTTGCTTTGCTTTTTTACTGTCTTCTTCTTATTACTTAAACTCTCCCCTATACAGAAAGGAGAGTTTAAATTTAAAATTTTTACTGCTGCAGACTTAATGAAGTGTGCTCTTACACGAAAAAAATATTTGAACTTTTTCTATCAATTTAATAACAACTTGCTCGTTTTGATTATTTTAAAACAAACACCAACGCACTCACGCGATATTTCACACCTTAGAAGAAGTTGCTTAGTTAAATTTATTAATCTGCATAAAGAATAAAGTTTAATGTTTATTCTGTAGGTAAGTTTACATGTTGTATTAGACAAGGACAAAACTTTGTGGCGGTTTTTCACCAAATTAAAATATATTCTTCTTATAATTTAAATAAATGTCGTTAAACTGCCAGTTTCATAGGTAAACTTTTGAAATATTTCTGATAAACCGACCGTGCTATCAGCATAGAACTCCTGGAATATCTGGGCGAAAAACTAAACGAATAATCTCTTCATTTTTTAAGGCTTCACTGTCAACATTTTTGAAGGAGTTTGAGAAGAGAGTGAAGTAAATGAGGTAAATGAATCTAGACTTCCAAGTCCAGCTCTCTCAAATTTTGAGGAGCAATCATTTCTGGGCGCTTTATTTCAATTGCGCGCTACAACCGCTTTAGTTCTTGACGGCAGATAGATAAATACATGGCGTAGCTCGTTTGATGCGGGTAATGACGCGTGCTTTATTTTTCATTTCTACCGCAAGATCTGCACGCCAGTTTGCAAAGCTCATGTATGGAATTTCAATCCATTATATTTTTCAACATTAATTCATATGGTATTCATTAAGATTCATTTTATATTCAGTCTCTGCAACCGGATTTAAAAATTATTTATTCTTCGTTTTGTCAAAGTTAGTTAGTTACTTGCGTACTGTCAATTTTGATAAAGCATATTCGTTATAAACTACATGAATTTTTTTCGCAGTTTCACGTAACGCATCGCAATCGCATCGAACGAACTTACATTCGACCGCAGAGATATTGTAAAAAGAGGTTATTTTTTCAAAAGTTCAAATCATTTTCGAAACGCAATTTCTATTGACCAAGCTGATTGATAAAAACAAGAATTTAAACACGTATGAAAAATTTAATATTAGCTTTTATTATCAGCTGTTCTTGCTAAACAGCTCTATGCTAAAACGAAACCTAACTTTGAGCTCTCCATATTGCTCCTTAAATATCAATCAACCGCCATGTTTCAAAAGCCCCATAGGATCGGCATATCAAAGTTACGAATATCTTAAGATATCTATTACAACAAATGCGGCGAAATTTTCGCATCACTCGTTATGAAAACCTATTTTAACTGTATATGTTTTCCGCTTTGTTTTAATATAGTGAAATGGCCCAAAGTAGAAAGTGTTAAGCATTCAAAAGATTAAATAATAAATTGCATTTGTACAATTTAAATTTTAAATTGTTTAATATTACAAAAAGATTCTCTCAATCCTCAAGTAGAGTAATAACATTAGTATATTAATATGAATACATTAACATTTCTTTGTAGTGGATATGCAGACAAACAAAAAATTAAATAAATCTCGCAATTCCTTATCACTTAGTGCAAACGCAATTATACGACATAAGATCGACTGCTACGGTAATAAAATAAGTATTTTCTTGCTTTTTTTTCTTAAGAATAAAGTGAACGCGTCTCTTCTTTAATTGAATCAAGTGAACGACAAATAGTTTTAACGCCAGCACATATGCAGTTATTTATATGTATATATGTACGAACACAATTCCAAAATTTGTATGCGATTTGATTAAAGCAGAAAGTTTTATTAAAAGGGCAGAGATTCATCAAAAATCATCGGCGGAGATTCACGAGTTTTCATCAAAATATAAATTCAATGCGCATTAGCCCTGGAGGGTGTTCTATAAATCGACATGTATTACAAGTTATTAATTTTCGAACATTTGCAATTATTATTCTTCATTTTTCTAGATTTACAGTTTTTAAAACCCATTTATCTTAAAGTCATTCATTTGTTTAATACCGCATTTAAAAAAATTCATATTTACTGATATTGCTCACTTAAAGTATTTCCGTTACTCTTCACTCTTTAAGTTCAACTCTGCGTTTTATCAGAACTCTCCCATTTAATTAAACACATAAACGTGGCTGAAATATATACATGTCCATGTGTCCACTATCAAAATTAAAATATCAAATATTTAATGCTAGTGCAAAATAAAGCATAACAAACATTTTAATTAAAATTTTTTTTTTTTTTTTTTTCGTTTTTAATACACTTTTCTGTTAAGATATAATAAAGAAAACCGGCATTTCACTTCAAAAAAAAATGAATTATTGTTTTTGCTTATTCCACTTTTCGTACATATTGTTGTGTTTGTTGTTACTATTTCATGTCAAATGTGGCAGTCAACGTTAACAAACGTTAACGTCGCTGCTTATATTAAAATGACAAAGATACTTTTTTTTTTTAATATATTTAGTAAACTACACAACATTAACCAACATAGCAAATAGGTCACCAAGAAAAGAAATTATGTTAATTAACACATAGAAGAATTTATCTTTTTTTTTTATCTTTTGTAGCTCCTATCCTTGCGATACGAACAGATATTTGATAAAAATTCTATTGAAAACATTTGTTTCCTCAAGAAAGTTTAACTTTTTTCTAACGAGGTCAAACCTTTTCTGTTTTCTTTCCAAATCTATAGGAATTTGTGGTATTTAGTCTTTACTTTTATTGATTATATTACTCAGTTTGCATTTCATTTGCTTTTACAACAATGAAAAATTTACAACAAGTATAAATTCGCCCCTTTTTTAGTATTTTTTGATAACGACTTCAATGCAATGATTTTCACTTTGTTTTTTTTTTTTTTTTGCTAGTTGCCTTCACAAGATGGGCGTTGTGTACTTTAAAAGCGTATCAACTTTTAATTATTTTTACTTTTTTGGCAGCAATTTTTATAATACTTAATTTCTTCTGGATTTCTCTTTAACATGAATTGAAGTTTTTTTAGGAAATTCCTAGCAAATATTTCGCATAAATTCCTCCGATTCTACAAGAGCGAAAATTTTTATTGATTTTTCTTCTTACGTTTGACTTTTTGCCTACAATCTATTGATAGTGTTGCCAATGCAAACAGCTTGTGAAAAGCAGGAATTGGTTGTAGACATCAATACGTGAATTACTTGCGAGTGAATAGGGCTACGGTTTTATTGTTAGTAACTTTCAAAACTTCTTTAGTTGGTTTTTTTTTTTTGCTTTATTTTAATTTAGTTTCAACTTATTCAATTTCTATTAAAATAAACTTTCGCAAATGCCCACTGCTAAGAACGTAGCATCCAATATATACGATATTTAGTATGCCAACTCTGTATTCATTTATTACAATCCCGTCTAAAGTGAAACGCACTTTGCGAGCAGATCTTAAACAAAGATTTTTTTACGAAGTCCTATAATTTTCAATGTCTTGAATTAAATAAAATATATTGGCAGACACTTAAATATTTATATGTTCGTATTTATAATTTTTTAGTAACCGTTTGAGATTATTTATTATAGAAAAAGTGAAACGAAAAACTTAAAAGCAAAAATAAAATTAATAAGGAAATGCTTCTTTGCTCTTGAAGATAGAGAGAGAGAAGGTGTTTTCGACAAACACACAACATACTCACGCATAACGGGCAAAAAGTAGCGGCTTCACTTAGAAAAAGTAGAGGTTCTATAATTTTTTTTTTTTTTTAAGGAAACCATTTCTTTTTCGCATACAAAGAAATTGGCTAGAATGAGTTTCTCAAGCGATGAAGTGAACTTTTTAGTTTACAGATATCTCCAAGAATCGGGTAACATTATTGCGTTTGGCATTGTGAACTCTTAAATTTGAGTCCTATGTGCCCTTTTTCAGGTTTTATACATTCAGCCTTTGTCTTTGGCATTGAATCCCATATTTCGCAAAGTAACATTAACGGAGCTCTAGTACCGCCAGCTGCTCTTTTAACGATTTTGCAAAAAGGGCTTATGTACACAGAAGTAGAGTGGAGTGTAGGGGAGAACGGTGAAATGAATGGCCGTCCAATAGAAGGCTTGAGCCTTATTGATGCGGTAATGCCTGAGATTAAATTGGCAAATCCGGCAGTCAAACCGGAATCTGGAAAATCGGCTCCGAGCGACACAACTAATGCTAGCAGTTCATCGGCTTCTACGACCGGTGCAAATATCAAGGCTGAGGTAAAAACAGAAACAACTTCGACAACAGCGGCAGCTCAGACTAACAGTGGTGCTACCGCAAGTGGTACTGCTACAACAAGTGCGGAGACAACGGAAACTGATGGTGGTACAAATAGCGCTACTACAGGATCTGCAAATGCATCGAGCAGTGCCGCTGCCAGCACTACTTCCGCAACTACTGCCGCCACAACAACTGGAGAAGATACCAAGAAACCTGAAGCTTGTCAAACAACTGCTGCCGGCCCGACAACGGCGGTAGATGATGCAACATCATCTTCTTCAAACAACGGGAATGGTAATAATGCGGCATCTTCAAGTGAGGCAACATCTGTAGTTGCGGTTACTAGTGCGCCTAATTCCTCAAGCACTGTTACACCAATTGCCCCAGCACCGAATGCTACCGCTGCTGCAACCACAGGGTCTACGTCAACAACCGCGACCGTTGCTGCACCTACGCAAGCTCAAAGTGTAACTGGAACTGCTACTTCAACAGCCAGAGTTGAACCTATGGAAATTGATTCTGCTATTGAAATACCAGCTTCAAAAGCGACCGTTTTACGTGGCCACGAAAGTGAAGTTTTTATTTGTGCTTGGAATCCCAGCCGCGATCTTCTGGCTAGTGGTTCTGGCGATAGCACAGCACGCATTTGGGATATGTCTGATACCGGAAATTCGCCTAATCAGTTAGTTTTGAGGCATTGTATACAGAAAGGTGGTGCGGAGGTGCCAAGCAACAAGGATGTTACGTCATTGGATTGGAATGTAAGTAAACTAGCAAGGTAACGGAATACAAAAATTTATGATATTCTCTTTAAAGTGCGATGGTACTCTATTGGCTACCGGCAGCTATGACGGCTTTGCTCGGATTTGGAAAACGGATGGACATTTGGCTTCTACTTTGGGTCAACATAAGGGGCCTATTTTTGCTCTCAAATGGAACAAAAGGGGAAACTATATACTTTCCGCCGGCGTGGATAAGACTACTATCATTTGGGATGCCTCTACTGGCCAGTGTACCCAGCAGTTTTCTTTTCACAATGCTCCTGCTTTGGATGTGGATTGGCAAACGAACAACTCATTCGCTTCCTGCAGTACTGATCAACGTATTCATGTATGTCGCTTAGGCTCTGAAGCACCTGTCAAAACTTTTAGAGGTCACACGAACGAAGTGAATGCCATTAAATGGTGTCCTCAGGGCAAATTGTTGGCTTCATGTTCGGATGACATGACTTTAAAAATCTGGTGCATGAATCGTGATAAGTGCTGCCACGATTTACAGGCGCATTCCAAGGAGATTTATACTATCAAGTGGTCACCTACCGGCCCTGGTACACAAAATCCCAATACCAATTTGCTATTAGCTTCGGCGTCCTTTGATTCGACGGTACGCCTGTGGGATGTGGAACGTGGTACTTGCATACACACCCTAACCAAGCATACGGAACCTGTTTATTCAGTCGCGTTTTCACCAGATGGCAAATATTTGGCTTCGGGCAGTTTTGACAAATGCGTACACATCTGGAGTACCCAATCGGGACAGTTAGTTCACAGTTACAAGGGCACCGGCGGTATATTTGAAGTATGTTGGAATTCGAAAGGCACTAAAGTCGGTGCCAGCGCATCCGATGGCAGTGTTTTCGTATTAGATTTGAGAAAATTCTGATCAACACAGCTATTATCCTTTATGGCTCCGCCAAATATTATACGCCGAGCTATACGTTTGATATTGTAATAAGTTTTTTTTTTTTTACGTTTAAGTAAGAAAGGTTCTTCTTAAGTTCTAAAGCAAAATTTACTTCCTTTTTTATACGAGCACGTAGATATTATAAGTGAATCTAATTTAACTTCTGAAACTAAAAAGTTGTTTTTTCGCTTTTTTTTTTTTAATTTATATTTGGTTTTTTTTTTTCAAAGCCTTTATTCCCGAGTGAAAATAATGCAATAAAAAAGCATATGGAAATAAATTAAATGTTTCCTAAAAATCTACAACACTGTCGAGGAAGCGTTCTTTTAGTAATCGGCATTGTTCTCGCTGGACCTCACCATTTTTCCTTGTGCTTTGGAAAAACTTTGTTAATTTGGGTCCTGCGTATTTCGGTTTTTCCGAATCGGGTTCGTCAAATTCTACAAGGCAAGCGGTTTCACTCAGTGCGTTCTCGGCAGTAGACCAACTAAAACGTACAATGCGCGGAAAGCCAAAGATGTAATTAACGTTTTCTGATAAAAATTTACGAGTGATTGGATCGCCTGGGTAACCACTACCAAAATCCTTAGAAGTCAAATTCAAGCCTTCAGGAAATTGCCAAACTTTCAAAGAGTGATCTCGGGTCACCTTGGCACATATACTAGCCGCTGATACTATGGGAAAGGTAGAGTCAGCTTTTTTAGCCACCGTGATTTGGAACTGAGGGAAAATTTTTTGTAGCTTTTCTTGATATTTTTCAGGAGGCCCGACTGTGTCTACGTAGACTTCAGCGATATTAACTCCCGCTTCTAAAGCAGCATGTATTAAATCAATTGCGGCAGTCATCGATATTTCATTTAGTGAACATTTCTTTCGTCCTAACATATTGTTGCTGATTACATTCGGTGATATAATTTCGACCGCCCATCCAATGCAGCTGCAAGCATAAGGTTGAGTATTGATGTTGTCAAAAATTACATCACGCTTCTCTTCTGTTAATTCTTTCGAATCCGCGCAACCCAGATCTGTTAAGATTTGCTTGCTATTTAGTGGGCAATAGGCGATTCCATATACCATAGGACCTAAAACAGGCCCTCGGCCCGCTTCATCTACCCCTAACATGCAGGGTTCACGAAGGCAAATCTCTGGCACATCCGATATGTACCGAGTGTTGCGAGTATTATCCTTTGAGGCAATAAATGGACCTAAAGTTTTCAGCGAAGTGATTTTATCTACAGGATTAATGCTTTCCTCGCCTTGGTTGTCATTACCGTCACTTTCTCTCTCCATTTTTATGGACAAAGCTGCGGGTATGGTGTCAGAGCTGCCAATTCCTTTCTCAGTTTTCACAGGTGAACCCGTCTTGCATGCATCTTCCTCATCGGTAGCTTCTCTTTCAGTCTTTAAAGTTGTTTCCATATTTTAGGTGGTTTGATATTCTTCAATTGGAATGATGTTCGATTTTTATACTTTTACGCTATAAAGGCATTCTCGAGATCCTAAAGGGACAAAGTAATATATTAATTCTATACTCAGAAATTTCTGCCAAAAGCAAACTTAATAATTACATATTTGAAATTGGGAAAATAGGAACAAACTTTTGCTTGATATTAAAGTTGGTGCTGGAAACATCATATTTATGACCAGGGTATCCGTAATTTTTCTTGATAAAATCATTTTAAACTTGTTATGCAAATAACCAGTCACGCATTTTCTAAACTGTATGGATATAAAAACAAAAAAACGAGAACATGGAAAAAGGCAACTTCGGTTTTACACAAGATGAATACAGAAATAAAGTATTTTTATATTATTAATAAGCCTAAGATAGTAAGGTTATTTATTTATTTCGCCCGTATCCGTAGACTTTTTTAGCTCTCTGCTGAGTCTAAACTTGTATATTCTTCAGTGAATCCTGTAATTATTGATACAGAAATTTTTAATTTAAAGAAGACATTGATCTCCCGTTTGTAGTAAATATTAAGGAGGATTCTTGAAATGCTTTATAATTTTTATACTTTGTATTGTCGATTGTAAAATATTCAATCCAAAAGTTAACTTTGTTTGTTAACTTTATCTGGGCATATTGACTAATATTGATCATGCTATTATCTTTTTGCAATGAAAATGAAGATTGTTTAGGAACAAGGTACGATAATTAAAGAATTATTTAGAAATGGCTTTCGTGTTAAAAATGGTGCACATAATGTTCGGTGAGAGCAATAGATCTTTTAAGTCGCGGTATGAATTGCCCATACAATCATAATACGGCTTCTGACAAACAATAAATAAAATACACTTAGATTCTTAAGTTTGTAAAAAAGTTCTGCTCTTTCCGTCAATTGTAATGTAATGTAATGTATTTAATCACTTGACAATTTAAAATAAAGTTCTAACAGCCATTCAATGTTTACGCAGATTATAGAGATTGCACAAGATTTTTATGCACTCAAGATCGGTTTCGACAAGGTGATTTTATTTTGGGATGCAAGGTGAGAAATTTAAAAGATTTTGCTGCATCATTGACAGAAACAAGCTTAATAAAAAATATAAAAGTTTATATAAAAAATAATTACCATATAAACGAAGTAAAGATTTTCTGGTTGATTACTCAATCACACATTACAAAGAAGTTCAGTTAAGAAATTGTACATCCATATATTACATCAGTTCGATATTTAAAGAATAATACAAACATTTCTTTTCTTAAATGTTTTATACAAGTTTCGTTTCTTTTTATGATTACTTAACCAGTTTTGCTAATGTCTCTTTCGCTGACGGAATGTGTGGAATTGTTTTGTATTTATTCTTTATACCTCAGCCAACTTCGGTTTAATTACTTGTCTGCTTCTTCTCTTTCTTTCCGTTTAACAACTTGATTAAGTGTGCTTGTTCTCGTTATTGAGCTAAGGCCAAATTTTAGTAATATTGTAAATTTTGGCAACTTGCACAAAATTATTTAAAGTAGAAGAAATATAGAATATGTCTACTAAAGCAGAACTTGCATGTGTGTACGCTTCTCTCATCCTTGTGGATGATGATGTTGCTGTGACTGTAAGTAAAATATCAGTAAACATCCTTAAAACTAGAAAAGTTCTATGAATGAAACCATTTTGCGGGTAATAGTTCATTATTTGAGTGATGACGTGTTCCTTTATTTCCCATCTAGGGTGAAAAAATCTCTACCATCTTAAAGGCGGCTAATGTTGAAGTTGAACCTTACTGGCCCGGTTTGTTCGCTAAAGCTTTGGAGGGAGTCAACGTTAAAGATTTGATTACCAATATTGGCTCTGGGGTAGGCGGAGCCCCGGCGGCAGCTGCCCCTGCTGGCGGAGAAGCTGCTCCCGCTGCTGAAGCCAAGAAGGAAGAGAAAAAGGAATCCGAGCCTGAAGAGTCTGATGATGATTTAGGCTTTGCTCTCTTTGAGTAATTTCAACAAGTTGTTTTCACTATTTCTAAGAACCTTGTACCGGTTTTAAGGTGCAATCAAAAGTATGATGAAAACAAATACAAATAAATTTTATAAAAACAAACCAAATTTTATTTAGGTTATAATTTCATCCAAAATCTTGGCTACTTCACTTAAATTAGAACCACTGATTTCCTTTAGTCCCAGACTGATAACGAACTCTTGGGGGCACCGGTTGAGTTTAGATTTGTTTACCAAATATTGTATGCCGCTGCGTATTTCGTCTTTATCGGCTCCGAAAGCGCAATTTATCGTTATTGGTACAGAGACGTGGAGCTCTGGGTTATTTATAGGCCCTTGAATAGTCAAAGGAATGCCTTCATTCCTTTGCAGGTCAAATTTCACAGCATATAAATTAGCTAACCGACCGTGCTGAGTTATTAACACAAACCATTTGTTAGCAAAAGCTTGGAATACAAATTCCGTTGGAATATTATTAATACTTCTAGAGAATTGGGCGCTAAATCCAAGAGATTTTTCATTTGAAAAACACATTTTCCATATATTTTGTATATGTTTATGATGTTACTTATATTTTAGTTACCTTATGTTTGTATAACCAAGTCTTTCAACACTATGACAGCGGTATACTCAATTGCCAGCCCTGTGTTTTCAATACGTCTTTAACCAACCAAAAAGAATAAAAAGTCGTGAAACTTGGAAAAAATCACTTGGAGTAAAATTATTATGTATATATACCTACAATCAAGTTAACCGCCAACTTTATTAAGGTTCAAGCAACCTAACTCAATATCAAAAAAAAAAGCAAAGGACTTCGTGTTCATGTTGGACCTTTTTTTACTCAACTCAGCAAATCATCTGTTGATTTGCTAACTTGCAGAAGAACAAGAAGAAGCGAACAAAAAAGGCGGGATTGTTTATTTACATTTGATTAGATTTGGAGCTATAGATTTAAAGTGAAATATTAAAATTGAACAAAATGGATCAATATCCTGATGAAGATGAAGAATTCGAACTTTTATACCAAGATGAGTTAGAAATGATGGATGAATTTCCATCAGAAGAACAAAACGGTAAACATTCAAACAATTTTGCAAGCAGCTTTTGTAAATAAAATAAATTGATTTCAGTGGTACCCAAGAGCAAGGAACAAAATGTGTCAAGTCAACCGATTTTACAGTCGCCCCAATTTTTGTCACAAATTAGTTTCGGCGATGGAGAAAGTCAAATCTCAGCACCAGTTAATCGTAAGTTGTTTGGCACTCCTAAAGAAAAACCAAAGCGGATGGCTTCAACGCCATTAGCTCAGAAACGGCGTATGGCTTCTATTCAGGAAGTGGTGGAAGATTTGAATAATGTCGCAGAGACTGATGTCGATGACGTAAGACCTTCAACTGCAAGCGAAGCTTTAGCCGAACTTAGAAGAGAAGGTGCCAAAAGAAAACGTTTAGAAGAAGACTTATTCGGTAATATTGATGATATATTTGGGGATGAAACATACGAAGATCCAGAGGCGAAAAAAGCGAGAACTGAAGAAGAAAAAGATTGGCAGATTATTGAAAAAATATTAGAAGCCCGACGCAGGTTAAAGGAACAAAACAAAGTCGTTCATAAAGATGACTTGACCCGTTTGAAAATATTGCATGACTTTAAAATGAGAAATCTTTCTTACACTTTACCCCCGTGGCCATTTCTACCACTGCAACGAAGTGATGGAGAACGTGTTTATGTCCGTTTTCATTCTGAGCAATATGAGGCAAAAGCGGTAGATGAAATCAAAGTAGCACCAACAATAGGTAATTTGTTGGGTGATGATAAGCAGAAGATTTGGACAGAAGCCAATGAATTAATATGGAAGCGAGTGAATAATAACGCAAGTGCGAATGCCGAAGTTGCACCAATTATTGTGGAGCCTACAGTCAACGACCAAGATCTTTTATGGGTAGAGAAGTACAAACCGCACAAATATGTTGACTTACTCTCCGATGAGACCACTAATCGTAGTCTGTTGTTTTGGTTGAAAATGTGGGATAAAGTAGTGTTTGGAAAGTAAGTGTTTTCGTACGCAATTTACGAAAGTAATAGTTGCAAATTCTTCTTTTTTGCAGAGAATTCAAAGCTCTGCAGGCTAGTACAGGCGGTAGAGTATTGAACAGTTTTAATAAACGTACGGGTAAATTTGAATCAACGGGTGGATGGAATTCTCGCCGACCTAAAAAATTTCTCGATACTAACGTTGATGAATTTGGCCGGCCTATACAAAAGGTGGCCTTGTTATGTGGTCCTCCGGGCTTGGGGAAAACCACTCTAGCCCACACAATAGCTAAGCAGGCGGGATATAACGTACGAGAAATTAATGCCTCCGATGATCGTAGTCCTGAGGCTTTTAAGTTAGCTTTAGAAAATGGCACACAGATGTCGTCGGTAATGAATGAGGAACGAAAACCTAATTGCATTATCTTGGGTGAGAAACATATATACAGATGGGGTGTAAATTATTCCTAACCCAACATCGAATTATTTAAATGCATCAATTTTTTGTTTGTAGGACCCACTAGAAGCTACATATTGTACACATACATTGTCATCTTGTTCAGTTTGATGTATGGAATTCGATTAGCCATGTCTGTCTGTTTCACAAACTATGTTGGAATTTGTACACAAAATTGAGATGTGAAATTTTTCATGTATATTCTTATAGTACAAACAACGCCATAGTTCAAGTTTGAAAATAAAAGTGATAGGATAAAAATATGTGAAAATTTGAAAATGCGTCTTCTCGGACTTAAGGAAAGCATGGACCGAAAATTTCGTATAAATATTTTTCGTCAACTTAAACAAATATTCATTTCAAATGTGTTTCCTATGGATCATTGACCACTCGATACCACAAAGCTCGTCTATTCATTCGTCTATTATTCATTCAGATTGATATATTCATCCCATTCATTCATATTCATGTAAAGTAGTATTTGGCATACAATGAAGCCATCTCTATTATTAGTTTCAAAACTTCATCGATGAGCGTATTTAAAATTCGCTCCAAAACTAATATACTTTTTCTTTTTCTTAAAAAATGTGGATTTTTTTTTATATTCTGTGCTTTTTTTCTTTTGCAGATGAAATTGACGGTGCCCCTCATCAGTCCATAGAATTTCTGACAAAATTTGTTACGGATAATGTAACAAGTAAGAGAAACAAGGTGGGCGCTGGTTTAAATAAAATTAAACGTAACGTTCTAAAGCGTCCCATAATTTGTATTTGTAATGATCTTTACGATCCCGCCTTAAGGACTTTGAGACAAATTGCTTTCATAGTGACGTTTCCACCCATAGAGTCATCTCGTCTAGCGGAGAGGCTAGCGCAAGTTGCTAATTATGAACATCTAAAGACTGATCTTAACACTCTAATTGGTTTGGCCGAGAAATCAGGCTGTGATGTACGTTGTTGCATTTCAACAATGCAATTTTTTAGTATTCAAAAAAAATCGTTTACACTTCACGATGTACTCAGTAATAATTTAGGACAAAAAGATCGTCATCAAGGTCTATTTGAAGTCTGGAAGTCTATATTTAAGGTAACGGAATATAAGAAGTTAGAAAAATTCCGCTTAAGTATAATATTATATTAATACAGATTGAAAGATCCAAAAAGCAATTAACTGAAGGATCAGCTAATAAAAATTCCTTGATTACCATGACGGATATGTCTACAGCGACCAGAGCTCGCCAAGTTCTTAGCGCAGTGCATTCTGGCGGAGATTATCAACGGTAAATGCTCCTTTTCTAAGATTTACATTAAAATTTGTACACTCATCGCCAAAGGATGACGAGTGTATTCATTTTACTATCCGTCTGTGTAATGTCCGCTCACACGACACCTATGCTTTTCAAAAGGAGAAAAAAAGCGAGTTTTTACTCATTACTCACAAATTACATCAGAAAAATCTATAAAAGCTTGGACGTATATTCTAAGGGCAATACAATCTGTACAAAAAATTCATATTTCCTATCTATCTGCGGGTTAATGTGTTTGCTACATACACGCTTATATGTGTACCATAGCGCGTATTCATATAAAAACATTCGAAGAATGTACGATACAGTAAAATAATCTAACAGAATTCTTGCTCATGCAAATAATAAGAATGGAACAGCAGTTAAATGATTGATAACAAAAGCAACAGTGGTCTCCGAAATTTTCCCAGCCCTATAGAACAAAATCTTGGGCCGTCTTAGCACTTTATTGTGTCTGTTAAAACACTTTTCAGTATTCACGCTCGTGACAATGAATGGATATACTATTATATATACGCTTTGGATACACATTAAGTGTACGTAGTGTGGAAAGTTCTCCAATTTTGTTAACTTGAAAAAATAACCAAATCGGTAGACAAATCCATTAGTAAAGAAATATTAAAGTTTTTCAATTAAAAACTAAAATTCATTTTAAATTTTTCTTTATCAAAATATTCTCATTGGAGTTCGTTTGTAATTGCTAAATATACCTTGCATGTGCATACATATATCACATAACGTCTATGTACCAATATATGACAACGAATATCGTATGTATATCGTACACCGTAACAAAAATTTGAATTATGTTTCTACGCACTTCATACGTGCGGGCAAAACTGAAACTAAACAAATAAGACCATTATCGTCGCAAGGTCGACCATTTCATAGCCTATATCACGTCGTTTAGTACAATTATTCGCTCATAGGCACACTTTCCGTGAGAGTCCACATATTGGAGGTTGACAAAACATAATATGATGTGATCCTAATTTAGCAAACTTAATTTACTTCGCAAGGATTTTATTATTCTTCAGTTCTCGTCATAAATAAAAGTAGAAATTAGACTTTCCTTCCATATGCTTTTTATGATAACCCTAATATATGTTGGACTTTAAAAAATTGACCTACGTGATCCAAATTCCGCACCGTTAATTTTGTTGCTATTAAAAATTAAAACTTTTTCTGACAGGCTTTTTATTTATGTGAATTCCTGTAGGGACTGGCGGATGTAACAAATTTCATCAAAGTATCTTAAAAACCTGCGACCTGTACGTTGAACACAAACTCACATGGAGAGAAAATAATTCTGAATAAAAGATGGTTTTACCTTAAGCCATTCTGGTTGTTATACACACTCGCACAAACTTGATATACCCCGTACAGCAAATGTATGAAAATAGTTTTGCCTATGTTTGTATAGGGTATAGCTAAATTGTCCGAGATGTAACGATGTGAAAAAGTATCTCCCCTTTCCCTTACACAACAATTTATTGGCATTTATTATGAAACGATATAAAGAGAATATAATATAATTTAATTTAAGTGAGGTGATGGGTTTGTATGATTCGATTTGGTGAAAATGACTTTCTTTACCGTCTTCTTCTCTGCGCTTCCTTAGATTAATGCAAGGTGTCTTTGAAAACTTCCTGCAGCAGAAAATGCCTGATCCCGACTTGATTGCCGTTGTTGAGGCTTCAAATTGGTTTTGCTTCTCCGATATGCTATTGCAACAAATCAATCAAGACCAGAACTATGCGATTTATCCTTATTTACAATATGGTTTTATTAAATGGCATTTACTCTTTGCCTCCTTAGCTTGGCCGAAAATCAACTTCCCACATAAGGGTTTAGAGGTATGCTATTGCTACTATTCATTCAAAAGTGTATTATGAATTTTTACTTAATGTTCATAAATGTTTCATAATTCAATTCCTTTGCGCAATGCAATTTTTTTTCTTTCATTTTTTTACTTTCTCTGCGCTCATCTCCCTATTAGCCTTTAAGGCTTTGCATAATCATTTCGTCTTTGTATATAAATAGATTTTTCTTTTAATTTTTTCTTTTCTAATGAATGGAAATGCAATCAAAAGATTACCAGTTTTTTTTAAACAAGGTAAAAAAATAATTAGCTCTTACATAATATATTAGCGTTTATAAAAGAAGTCGAATGAAAAGCCACTTACATGCTTTAACCAATGATGTTGATACTACAAACAAAATGGGGGAGAAAAAAAAAGAGCTAATTTCATATGCTGTATGAATGTGTGTGTATGAAAGGATTTTATGCTGATTTTCAGTTGTTTTTCTTTTTTTTTAGTTTTTTCAAAAGTCAACCACACAAAGAAATGTTTTTCAATCTTTACGTAAATCCATTACCACTTGCACTGCAGGCATCGGCCAAGGCACAAAACTGCTTTTAGAAACAGTACCTATGCTAAAACGCATTTTATCACCTCAATTGAGATCCGTAGCTGTACCACTACTCTCGCCCAGGTATGATAAACCGGATACATTAAATTATTAAATTCGACATAAAGTAAAGAATTTGTGTTTTTCTAGAGAACAATACGACCTGAAGCACACAGTGGAAATTATGGCAGATTTCGGCATTACTTATACCCAATTGAAATCGGCCGAGGGATCTTATGTTTATCGTATGGAACCGGATTTGGAAGCTTTAGCACAATTTTCTGGTATGATGTTTTTATTTTTAGAGGGCTTTCGTGCAAAGACATGGAATTGCGTCTTACCATCGCTGGTAATGCATAATATATTAAGTTTGTGCGGACGTTTGTAACACCCAGAAGGGATTGAGTTTGTCCGTTTGCCCGTTTAATATCTGTTCATTTTTTCCGTTGTTCAACCTACAAGACGTAATTTGCGAGATATTTCGATGAAATTTGTTACTTTGAGTTGTTTTGGCCTAAGGTCGAACGCTATTGAAAATGGTTCATATCAGTCTCTCTTTTCGACTACTGCCCATATAACGCTTTATTTTGGAAAGTTATGCGAATAACTGTAGGATTGCGTAGGATATTTAATCGTGGGCTACGGTCCACTATAGTGTTTTTACTCGCTTTATTATTAAACTGGAGCAGTCGTATAGTTGCCACAAATATATATATATGTTGTGTGTAGGTTGTGATCACGAATAATAGAGGAGCTAGGAAAGAAGTAGTAGTAGCTGCGTATGTTCGATTTGTTTTGAAACAATAAGTTTTTCTGAAACTATTTCGAAAACATAATTTATGCACCGACTTGTGTTAATTATCCAAAAATTTTGCTTACCTTTATTTATTCGCTTTCCTTAATAATATATGTATCTAAATGTATTAGAAAAATGACAAATTTTCTATTGTGCTTGATGAAGCTAGTAACAGCGATTGTAGTTTAAGCATTCAAGGTGCAAAGCCTAAAATCTATTTCTTTGCCATAAATAAATTACAACAATAACAAGGAAATTGTATTCGGCTGTGGCCGAAGCTTTTAAAGTCATCTTTTATTAGGCTTTATATGGGGAACAAGTGCACCGATCCGAACGATTTTCAATAGCGTTTGTCCTTGGGCCAAAATAGGTCACTGTACAAAATTTTATCGAATTATCTCAAAAATTATGACTTGCAGCTTGAACACAAATTTACATGGCGGGCAGACAGGCTGAGATCAATTCAGACTATGATTCTGAATCGATCGGTATAATAAAACGTGGCCCTATCTTAGGTCCTTCTGCGTTTTAAGTACGACCGCATTAACTTAATATACCCTGTATCACAAGTGGTGGGCAATGAGCGAAAGACCAATTTTTTTTTAAAAAACGGAGGCGTTTTCTGTTCACATGGTACTGTAGGCATGTCCCGTTTTCAATAGCAATTTGCGCGCGTTTCAATGTTTCTGCCAAATTCGAAGAAATTTTTGCGTTGCTACGGGAAGGAGAATGTCTAAAACAGACGCGACGCGACAGAGAGGCAGACGGATAGGCAAACATGCTTAACTTGGTTTAGAATTTAATGCTTATTAAGAATATGTATACACTATGGCATCTTTGAGACTTGCTTCCGTGTGTGGCAAACGTTTTGAATAAACGAGTGTATTCCCATCCTTCGATTGTGGCTGCAATAATTGGGTAGTGGATGTTTGGTGCGAACAATGGTTTAAAAATCAAGCATCAAAAAATTTTACTTTCCTCCCTTAATTAAAGCGTCAAAATTACGCAGTGTTTAGTGGACAACCTTGAATATATCTCAAATGTTTTCTTATCAAGCTCTAAAATCAACTAAATTGATTTCAATACGCTTTGAAATGTACATGATTTGTGATATGTAGGATAGGATACATGGTTGACATGTTAAGTGAATCAGTCTTTGCTGCATTACGTTATCTAACTCTTCTTTCCTGTTCGCGCAGATAGCCCGGGTATTACTTTAACATATTTCGGACGTCAATTGATTGCTGGTGAAGTCGAACTAGAAATTATAAAACGTGCTCTACCCAAAGCTTCCCGAGAATTAGACCTGGCAAAAACCGCATTAACGTCATCGTCAACATCATCATCGAAAGCAAGTGCAAAGTCGTCGGCATCCACCAATTTACCCAATCATATGCAACGACTGAAACCTAAACAGCTCGATAAAGCTGCCAGTGCCAAAGCTAACCAAGAGATGGTAAGTTAAATTTAATATAAATTTCTTTCATTTTCCTTTATTATTTTCTTCCGACACTTCATATTATGATAGTTCGCTTGAGTAAGCATTAATCAATGTTATGCATTTTACGTTTTATCTCTCTTTCTTTTATGAAAAGGAAAAACGAAAAGTTGAAAACTATTGCGTTTCAAGATTTGATTTGCATAACGCAAATTCCTTTGCTCTATTTTTGCTTTTTTAAAAAGGAATTTATTTCGTGTATGCATGTTTAGAAGAAACGTGTTTGGCATACGAATTAAGTCAAGCGTGTTCTTTTATTCATTTTTTCCTGCATTCATTCATTCCTATATCACACACTATCCGCATATAAAAATTCGTTACGAAAAGTTTCTTCTATATGATGAATAGATTTCCATCTTGAAATCTATTAAATATTTTTTATAATTTTTTTTTAAAATCATTTAATATTTTTGTACCGTATCCTACTTCCTTTATTTTGGTCAATCATTTCAAAATTGAATTCAATCCGAGTTGCTGTGATATATATATTTAAATAAAAAAAAAAAAATAAAAATAAAAAAACAAAAAGAGGAGTCTCTTAAGAAAATTTCGCTTATTCAAATATAATTAAAAGTTGAATTGGAAATGAAATACTCTATGGTCTATGGATTGATGAGATGGTGTTGGTATGTAATTGCAAGTTAAACGTAACTTCATTGTTTAACTAAATTCGGTTCGGTTATTATATGACTTTATTAGAAAAACAAAATATGTTAACTAATTTTAATGAATATACAAATGATACTATTTGGTAATTAAGTGTGTGTTTGTGTGTGTGTGCATATGTGCATATATGTATATATTATAGGTCTCTAAGGATTTCTTTGGACGTATACAACGAAAAACAGCTTCACAATCTTTGGCGGATGAACGTAAGTATAACGTACGTATATACACATTGTATATGTATTGTATATATAAATATATATAAACATATATATTATGGTATATAGGTTTTTATTTGTACATGTTTTTTGCATATCATTTCATATTAATTTTACGCTTGACTGTTTTGGTTTCCAGTTAAATCTGATCCAATTGTTAAGAGTCCTATTTGGTATCGTTACAAGGAAGGCTTCAATAATGCCGTTCGCAAAGATATTCACATGAATGAGTTGCTATAGAAACGTAAAGATATGTGAGCGTTAAGTCGAAGGAAGTAGTGATGAAAACAGTTGTGTACATATTTTCTTTTTCTTTTTATCCTTTTGTTTTTATGGATTTAAAAATAAATTTATTTTGTTTGTAATTTATTTTTAAGGATATTCAAGTAAAGGAATTTTTTTTTCCTAATATTATGGCTTTGTGAGGTATATATTTATTTTGCATCACCTAGTAGGAACTTTCGGCGAACCCATAAAGTATCTATTCTTGATTAGCATCAAGACTCAACCACACCAACCTGTCAATCTGCCTGTGTAACGTCTATGGAAAACAGTCTCTTGGTTTCATAAATGCAGCAATCGGCTTCAAATTTGCAGCAAAACATGGAAGTTTTTGCACGCAAATTGAGTCAAATCTGTGGAAGAACACAACCATATTATAACATAATCTGAGACCACTTCTAGTTTTAAATATAAAAAAAGTGGTTTTTTGCTCGTTACTTGTAAACCATAACAGATACAATGGCAAAGATTAGTATTTCTATTCTATGGGTAATCCTGCAGCATGTCATTGTTTTATTAAAAGAAGCTTCAGAAGCTATACAAAGTCTGCATATTATTTATCAGTATTAAGCGGTGGTGGGTATGAAAGAATCGGTTGCAACCGAATATAATATCCTTACTTGTTATGTTAATAAATTAATTATAAATTCATATTCTATTGATTTTATTTGTCTACCTTACACCATTTGTGGTCCATGGATGTATTAAATCTGTGCGAAATATTGAAACAGATTCGCTATCGGTCTGAGTGTCCCTCTATCCGTTTGTGTTTGTGTGTTCATGCTAAAAGTCGCAATTTTTAAGATATACCGATGACAGTCACTGCATCGATGCGTTTTGGCCCAAGGATGAACTCAATTGAACATGGCCCTTCCCATATCATGACTATGACCATTTCCCATATAAAAGCCTGATTTTAAAAAATCATTACATGAATAACTGTATTAAGCGAAATTATGTAGGGTGCTTAATCGTGGGCCGTAGCCCACTATAATGTTTTTACTTCTTCTTACCTGAGAATATTGCATACATTTACAATTCCAATTAATTAGAATGACTTGCTTTATAAAATAGGCGCAGAAATCTGGGTGAGTGTGAAAAATAATTTGCTTTGCCATATAATTGATTTGAAAATTGGTAAAAACTATTTTATTTGTACTAAATGGTTTGTTCAAAGTGCTACCAGAATGAAGAAATAGTTCGCGCTATGTCTTCCGTATCGCATTGAAGCTTTTGTATGTATTGATGGCGTTATGAGTAATTTACTAAAGTAAATGCATGACAATTTGTATGCAGTTCTGACGCTCAGAGTACTTGATGATTGCTAAGTAGAATGTCTCGTCGAACCTTCCGCAGAGCATTGAAAAAGTTAAAGAAAAAATTCCTTGGCAGCGATAGCACTATCATCGCGTTAATATATGATTTTGAGGAAAGATGGAATGACGTTGAAGGTTTTACAAGATGCAAACAAGAAAAAACAAAGTCACCTTTAAAAGCTTTTTCATAGTGTTATACTAGAGACGAGGCTGAACCTAATGCAAAGCTGACTTTTTTAATATAATAATGGAACACATCGCGTTTTTGCCTCTAAGAGACATTTTCATTTAATTTTATATCAATATCTGCTATCGATGGTTACTACTTGCGTATGTAAATGTTCCGAGTTGGAATTTTCTTCCAAGCGACCACAGAGCAGTCAAGAAGAGGACGCTTGTGAATAAACCATCTCAAAATCTTATGTGCCCATGATTACATGTACATTGTGGGATGTCGTGTGCGTATTTTTGTTTGTAACAAACAAAAGAACAAACCCCCCCCTTTCCTTTGATGACGTATAAAAGAGTAATATCGTTGTTTGTTTCAGTTCTTGTTTCTATGTACAGTACTATCTACGCTCTATATGTTCAGTAGTGTTGGGCAATAAATGCTACTTAAACTTATGTTTCTTAATATTAAGCGACGAAATTGTGAAAAGTAATTTTCACTTAAATAAATCGCGAAAGTGAACTTTTGAGGATTGACTCATTTTCTTTCCCTAATACGAAATATTAAAATAATCGATAAATAGTATTTTTTGCTTTACTTAATTAAAACCAAGGTCTTCCCAACTTTCAGGTCATACAATTTTTAAGAAATTTTCTATGGCCTGACTTGAAAGCTGCAAGTACAGTTGCCTTTTGCTTACTTTGGGGAAATCTTTGCTAAAGTAAATCTTTTCAAATTATTTAAGAGTCATTTGTAGCCCTTCCGGCAATAAATTAGATCGATGTTGTCTTCCTCTTACGCTATTTTTTACATTTTTGAATAATTTACGTTCCTTCTTTTGCTCTACTAATTAGTTTATGATGCTTAATTAGAAATCTTAAAAAAGTTTTAATAGCTGATCAATTTTTTAATTGATAAAACCGTTATTGGCCCTTTATTGAATATGTTGCTTGAAAGCAATCGAAACATTTTTTATTTGATAGTAAGGACATCCTACTATTAAATGCTCTACTTCACCCTACAGTTATTCTTAAAAAGATTGTACAAAATAAGGCCTTAAATGCAAAGTGACTGGAAAAGTGATCCGATCCGATCCATTTTCAGTAGCGTTTGTCCTTGGGCCAAAACAAGTTGGTGCACCCAATTAGATCAAAATATATAAAAATTGCAACCAGTAGTTTGGATAAGCAACGCAGACAGACGGTCAAGTGGACATACAAAGTTAGATTGATGCAAACAAGGATTCTAAATCGGTATAATAGAAGTAATTTTATCTCATGTGTTTCTGGGTATTGTATACACTCAGACTACACTACAAACTTAATACGTAGAATATAGCAATAAAATCTTTCAATATCAATGTTGTTATAAAACGATTGAAAGTGTCATATTTGGGTTGGACCGAATTTTCAACCGAATATCCATCGCCACTAAAGTCTTTAGCGCCACAAGCTTTTATTTATGGGTATAAATGGGTATGCGACAAAATATGTCTTCCATCTTTTAGTGCACTATCGTTTAATAAAATTAATCTACCATGTCGTCATGTTGACCATAATGTATATAGAATTAACAGACTTGGCTTGTCGCATTCTACTCTCCAAGCCCCTTTATTTGATATCCATATCCATGGTATTGTTAAGCAAAAATTAATCCACCACGTCTGGGCGCACACCATATGTATTTTGAAATTAACCCATTTTTAGGCAGATAATATATCTTGATTTGAGGAATGGACAAAATAATTTTAGACAATCTGTCTTGTTTACCTCAGGGCTAATAAGTTTAAAATCTCAAAAAAATGAAAAAAGATAACTTAATCATTTATAATTTTTTGTGGGCATGGCCGATTTTTTCCAATTTTGCATATAAATACTAGAGTTTTCGGCAAAGGAGAAAATTTCGATCCTCTAGCTTTCATAATTTGCGAGTAATGAGAAAAAAACCCACACATTTTTGCTTAGAGAAACGGAGTTGCGTTCAGTCTAAGATTTACTGTGAGCGTGCGCTCTTATCAATTTGACCCATTTTCAATACTAAGCTGCGTGCAGGAAGTCCCAATGTGTCTACCAACTTTTAAGTGTATATCGTCACTTTTGCAATCAGGGGCGTGTCCATATCACGTAGAGATACATAGATAGACGGAGACACAGACAGAGACGGACATGGCTTAATGAATTAGGAATTTCGCGTTAATTAAGAATATGTGTACGTTATAGGTTCTCTGAATATTTGGTTTGGGTGTCGCAAACGTTATGAGAAAATGAGTGTACGTGCATTATTCGATGACAGGTATAATAAGGTTGCTCAAGTCACGAAAAAATGCCTTGTGATTTGTGACGTCTTTGTGATACGCCTTCAGAAAACGGCTCTCACTTCCAAGATGCATTCTTCAAGTCACGTGCTAAACAATTTTATTTATTCAGTTCACGTTTCTTTCTGACGCTTTTCACGAGCCTGATCTGTTGATATTCAGGGCTCACTAAAAACGCATGAATATACGCCATAGTGCGGTGATATTCTTTAATCTTTTTTTTTTGTTTTTTTTGTTTTCTTTTTTTGCACACAATTGTGTCTGTAGTGGGTCTTACAGAGAATGTTTATTTCAATTACTCATACTTTGCCTTTATAATTAATTTATAACGCGGGCATTAATTGAAAAGTTTATGCCAAGGATTTGACCGATTTCAAGCTGAGCTTACTTAGATTCTACATCATGCCTGTAAATGCTTTTCATTTCGTTTATGCAATTCTTTCAGAAACTGTTGACTCAAGTCAGATGATAAGATGATAACGCACTTCAATTGAAACTAAGCTCTGTTGTCGATGTAATTACGTCACACATTTTCTTTAATTTGTACAGACTTAGCGAAAGAGTGAGTGAGTTTCGGGTCGTGGTCGCGTTAACATTGTTTGTTTGTAGTTTGAAGTGTAAAACAAAAACATTTTATTAAAAAAAATTAAAAAATTTTAAAATTTTAATTTCATTGATTTCAATCGCTTATCAATCACAATCACACACATACGAAATGCATAAATTAAATGCTATTAATTTATTAATAATTCTTTTGACCACACAATGTTTACATCGCATAGAATCACGTAGTTGGGGTGTACCAAGTGAGTTCTTATATAATGCAAGAAATTTAAAGAGAATTATTTATTAAATAACATAATAAATGTTTAGATATTTGCCTGCAACCTCCGCCCAGATCTGAGGGCATTTGCACTATAGAAATTGAAGGTTTCTATTTTGATCCGCAAAAGAATAATTGTGAAAAGTACACGGTAGGTGGCTGCCGTCTTACGGGCGGGCAAAGTTTCGGCTCTCAACAAGACTGCTTGGCTACTTGCGTTCATGGTACTCGACGTCTACAAGATATCAGACATGATTAAAAAGTGAATATTAATCTTGTATTTTAGAAAAATATATACGTTTGGTGTTTATTTACATTTTCAAAATTTTTCCACTTATTTTGTTTTTTTGTGTACTTAACACTGGAACATTAGTTTCGTTATTCCATTTGTAAGCTTCGAGTTGCTTGTATTGCATTTATTTCAACGCCTTCTAGCATAGGTCCGCAAAAAATTGCGAAACTCTTATATAATCATGTCGTTAGAAGATTCTTACGACTCTCCCGCAGGAATAAGTTATGAATAAGAATATTTGCTTGAAAGGGGAAAAGCAGAAATATCTTTCGGACGAAAAGTTTCGAATTAATTTAGTTTTTAGAAGTGGAAGGTCAAAAGAGATTTGTCTTGAAAATCAAATAAATTTCAAAGCTTTTTCAATATCGGATAGAATCAAGCCAGTGGGTGGGCGGAGCTCAAATTTGTCTATAATACGTAAGAATAATTTAAAACAAATAAAAACATTATAGTGGGTCGCGAGCCGACTCTACACTACCTTACGGTCGATCGTATAACGATTTTTCAAAATAAGGTATTATATGGGATGTGGTCGAAATAGTGTTCCGGTCCGAACTATTTTCAAGAGCGTGTGTCATTAGGCCAAAGAACATCAGTGTGCCAAATTTTGTCAATGTATGTCAAGAATTGGGACCTTTAGGTGGAAGCTAGACGGACAGACGGAAGGAAAGCTTAGCTCCTGTTCATCCGAAGTCTTCCTCGACATACATAGGAGAAAATTAATATATATCACAAGTGACGCAGACTATAAATAATTTTCTTTAAAATGCTGGGTGTTGAAGATTCGTCTTAGGTCGCATATAAGTTTCTTCCTTGTTCTATAATAATCTAACGAAATATTTATGAATTTTTATGAATTTTGCAATTCATCTGTTTTTGAAAACAATAGTCATGAACTTTTTTTTGTTTTTTTTTCTTTTCTTTTCAAATAAGATTGTGTCAGCCTTATCACGTCAATATTAAATAAAAAAAAAAAAATAAAAAACAAAAAAAAGAAGAAAAGAATTAAAAAAAAAAAATATTTAACATAAATATGTAAATAAATAAAGAGGACTGCCTTTTACATATTATATTGTTCCTTTCAATACTTAGTTTCTTTATGTAAGACTACCGAATATATATATTATAGTTCATTAAGAAAAAGAAAAGAAACAAGAGGCAGCGATTATTATTATCGCTGATGCATTTTCATTAAAGCATTCAATTTGAATTTTTTTAATTCGTTTACAGTACATCAGTTGTTTTGGTAATCTTGAAGAGATTTCAGTAAGTTGCTCCAATGCGTGCATAGAAATTATGTGTTTTATTTAAAAATATAATAAAATAAAAAGAAGAAGACGAATAAAACCAACACGCACTTATCTCGTGACTTAAATATACATAAAACGTATTGAACGGTCATTTGCACGAGTAATTCTTGCGATAATTATATAGATAGATAGACAGACAGACAGACAAAGAAAGTGATCCACATTAAAAGGCAATATAAATATATAAAATTTTGAAATAAAATATCAAATGAAACTTAAGCCTTCCGAGTATGCTTGTTTGTGCGTTAAATAAATTATTATTCAAAAAAAATTCTTAAAGAAATTCTATTTCGATTTTCAATTGTGTCGTGCCTAAGCGTAATATAAATACTTTTGTGTTTTTATTATTAAATTTTTTTATTATTGAAATTTTCAACTATGCAGTTTTTATGCATAATTTTCATCCTTTTAAGTGCCATATATACAATAGAGGCTCGTTCACGTAAGTTTCAATATCGCTAAGATTTTACATAGATTGCGATAAGTCTTTATATTAATTATTTCTAGGACCAGCGGTTGATATTTGCAATCGTCAACCTACCATAAATGGCCTTTGTGTGACAACCACTTTGGGCATTTATTATGATGCAGAAACGCAACGATGCAAATATATGGGCTGTAGTTCAAGTAAAAAACTTTTCGCCTCATTAGAGGATTGCGAGAAGATCTGCAATAGTAAGCGTCACACTCGTCGACGCGCACAAATTTCCAAAACCTGAATTCAAAATATCAAATTGCTTTGATTTTATAAGTTTCGAGAGTATTTTAGTTTTAATTGCATATACAATAGTTGTTGTTAATAATAATAATAATAATAATAATAATAATGGGATAACAAAATTCTATTATTTAAGAGAAGAAGTTTTATTCATAGGGCAGGCATACATGCAAGTAATGTTACGGTAAGTAATAAAAGGTTGTTATGAATGGCGATGTTCTTCACAATCCAACTTTTCCTCGGAAAAATAATTTAGAAAGAAATTATATATGGCTTGGGAAGAGATTTCTTTTAATACCTGTTTTCACTTTCTATTGATACTAGATTTAGGGAAACTCTTCAGTTTGATGGGTAAATTTGATGGATTAAGGAAAACTAAAAAGTTAAAAAATGAGCGTAATCTGTACACAGATGAAAACGCAACTTTTGATCCCATGAAGAACTTTTGGGTTAACATGTATTCCAAATGTTCTTTCGGGCCACCTTTATATTCAGTCCAAGACTAACGCGTAAGCAATTGACGAAAAATTCCAATCCAATGCCCTCTAGAATAAATGAGAAATATATTGGAAATAATTTGGAAATAAAATTTAAAAATAGAAGAAGCATTTTACAATAGAGTGCGCAAAGAAGTGTTTATTTCTTTTAATTATTACTAAACCATAAAAGATATCTACATGAATTCTCTCGGGGTATCCTTCTTAAAGTAATCCTTGATCGCAAATTCAGTTTACTCCTACGTTGACAATATCTTTCCGCTGAAGTTTGCTTTACGCTCGGAAACCCTTACTTTATCTGCTTCTAAACCTTAGACATACCATTCCGCATTCTCTACTCATCTTGCATTTTAATTATTGTATTGAATTCCTTTCTGGATGCCCAACGTGTGACTTAGAGAGGCTTCAAAGTGTTATTTTTGATAAAATTCAAATTTATTTAAAAAAAAAAATACTTGTTACAAAGCTTAATAATGAGAATATTCATCATCATTATCTACGGCCTTTTGCCTTTTGCTGATTGGTAGACAGGGGAACAAATCCAAATTGATCCAAAATCTTGCTAATCAATGATATTTATACAATATGTGCACAAATTGAAAGTGAGCGTCTGTAATGAAATATGAAAATTACTCCCGTCAGCATGTATGGCGTATTTTTATGGCGTTTATCGGGTAGGTGGTGAATGCATCCATAGTTTCGACATACTTTCTGATCTAGTAAACATGACTGCATCAATTTAAACAAATGGTAATCAGAATGAGAGAGGTTTTTGTTGGAGGCGGATCGAACGTTTTCAACACCTTCCCGTAATTGACCATTGTCCTTAAGCGCCTTACTAAGTTTGATTAGTTGAACTTGATATCGTTCATGTGTAACACTCCCATCAGACTTTCGAGGCCCGCGGTTGACGATTGCCTTCCAAATCTATCAAAAGAAGCTATATAGCGTTTACCATCCTAAAACCACTTGCATAGCTTATTGTATTTTCACATTAAGTCAACCACATCCGAAGCTTTAGCTATTTTTTTCCCAATTTTCAAGTTAAACACAAGGTGACTTAAAAGCTGCTTATTGGCAACGATCCGGCTATACATTAATACACGTTAAACGATAACTTGCAAAGCATCTGAAACTCAGATCGTATAAGCATCAATGCCAAAGATATGTATGTTTGAAGTTTTGAAGGAAATTAACTCAAAAGGGACGTTTTGCAGACGCTTTTGGGACGCTTTTCACCATAGAGAAGTTATTTGTATACTTTTTTTTCCAGTGACCAGCATCCGTGATTATTAGGGCGGTCTTTAGAAAGAGAGGGATAAATAGAAAGAATAGTATTTGTGAGTGTTCAACTTGAAAGTGAAGACATCAGGAACGGTGGGAAAGGCCATTGCTGATAGGTTGTTCCAAAGGTCGACAGTTGTCTTTGTTGGTTTATCGGTTTAACTCCACGGTGCCCGATGACACACGGGTTAATTTTGCGTAACCGGTGCCCACCAGTGAGTTAGACAATCCCTATTAGCTAGGGGCCTAAACTACACCGGAGAAACCATATACGTTTATTGTATATGGCTCAATGGGCCCACTCCAGGGAGTGTTGAGGCCTGCCATTACCTTTAATTATTCGCTTTAGGAATGATAGAGACCACAACCACCACGATATCCCCCGAAGGGCCCTACCCAGCAGGACTCAAACATTGGTTAACTACTGCGTTCAAACTGGGGTCTGCACATATTAGGGCACAATACGGTTAAAGAATGACGGGCCTCGGTAATGTGTTGTGCGGTATGCAGGTAATTCCAAGACGAATGTGTGGGAATGTTGAGAAAGCCGTGTAGTTAGTTGGTGGACAAATCTCTTTTAGCTCTCTAGCACATATTGCCTGGATACATCTGCAGGTAAGCACAGCATAGCCCACGTGACGCCAATGGTTAAGAATATCGAGAGTCTTGGGTACATTTTCGCCACCCATGAGCATCTGGGTCTTTCGCTGTATGCAAGCATGTGTATGTCGAAGCAAGCAAAGTTTGGACATATTCGAGTTAAACTCTTAATTTTGGCAGGATATCATTACATCTTTCGAAACCCCGCACATATGTTCTGTCTTGTACTCTCATGCCCAGAACATTAAGTTTGGTCGAATCGCCTACATAGGCATCACCAAAAGACAGGATTTGTTCATGTGTGTTAGCAGAAAGCCTATTAAAATAAAACGCATGTATTTCGCTAGACAAAAATTAGAATCGAATTTTAACAGATACGTTGAACAGCTGACGGATAAAATTCGACGATTAAATTGTACGACTAACTAAAGACGGGCAGGTTGTCATTGTTGCGTGTGATGTGTGATGAGTTTATAGCAAGACTTTAAAAAACATTAACTATTCCTCTTGACGTCAGCACTCTTAATGTCTCACACAGCCACGCTTGGAAATGTATGTATATGTGTTAACCTTTACTAAACTAATTAATTTTAATTAATTTAGTTAAATTCTTAATATAAATTGTTTGATGCATGAAAACTTCGCACAAATGCAGCTTATATATATGTACATATATTTATGATTACAATTAAATTCAAAGTCACTCGGCATTATTATCACGAATAACTTAAACAAGATGTACGTTTAACGCTTATGCGTACGCAAGCAATGCAAGATGTGTATAAAGTGTTCATATGTATATGTAAGAATGTACTTATGAAAATTAGGACTCTATGCATATTCTTTGTAATATATAAGTGCTTAATAGTGTGTAAGCATTATATGCAATAATCATTATGGTCATTTAACACACAAGAGCTGTTAAAATTTAATTTTCAGCTCGAAATTTCTAATTTAGTAATTAAATGTGTCTTTGGAATGTTCCAGATGTCAAATTATATAAATAATTCATACGACTACAGTCAATGCATCTATTTAGATATATATATATATATATATATATAAATGAAGGAATATGATGATGATGATGATGATGAAGGCTTTACTTAACTTATGAATGTGTGCATTTTCGATTATTTCAAGTAAATTAATTTTAGTTAACAAATTTGTCATCGATAATCATAGTGGGGGGCATCATGGCTAGTGCTTCTTTCTACACATAGGCAATCGTACAACAATCTAAACTTAATATTTACATGATAACTTTGACTTTAAACAACCATAAGATTTATACCATAAGATGATTATATTTTTCATTTAATACCACTATATAGAGATTTTCCGCCATAAACCCTTTAAGATGGCAAACGTAATTAGGAAATTATATTAATCATGAACCTGAGGAATCCGTTTATACCCTACACAATTTGTGTATTAAGTTTGTGCGGATGAATGACTTGCTACAGACATTTTATTGTACCGATCGATTAAGAATCATTGTCTGAATCGATTTAAGGTGAGATGTCCGTCTGTGCGTTTTGGTTTCTTGCGTTCAAACTGTATGCAGTAATTTTTGAATTATTTTGATGAAACGTGGTACCTTGACGTGTTTTGGCCCAAGTACAAGTGCTATTGAAAATGGATCGGACTGGAACACTTTTTCGATCCCTTCCATATTGAAAAAATAAGAATATTATATTTGGCCACGACCCATCAATGTTATTCGTCGTATATCGCTGTGATGTCCGTGGCATCTAGTTTAGAGTTAACAGACTTACCCTGCCGCGTTCTACTCTCCAAGTCCTTGTATGTGATATTCAACTGATTGTAGTACTAGGGAAAAGTTTACGTTGTAGGGTCCGCCATCTTTATGTTAGAATTAACACATTGTTAGACAGATGGCATATCTTCAATTTTCAACATTCAGTCTTGTTTACCTTGTGAGCAGTAAGCAGGAGACGTAAGAAGAGTGAACAAAAGTTTTAGGCGTTGCCGATTTTTTCTGCCTTTATATAGGTGCTGCAGGACAATCGATAGAATAAAAATGCAATCTTTTATCATTGTGTTTGTTGTGGTTTAATAGGTGGTGGATAAGTGACGAGAAAAAACTAAATTGTTTTTTCTTTTTGAAAACGAAGGTGTTCTCAGTTTACGTGGTACTAAAGGCGTGTCCTTTGTCCGGTTTGGCTCAATTGCGTGCGAGAACTTTCAATGTTTCTCTCGAATTTGGACCTATGAGCTTTATACATACGATCAGGGAAATGTTTACCCCGACAGGCAGATGGGCAGACGGACACGCTTAAATCGGTTTCGAATTTGATGCTCATCAAGTGTACATATACTTAATGAGGGTCTTTGAGGCTTCTTGTTGTGTGCTGCAAACAATTTGACAAAATGCATATATCACGCATCCTCCGATAATGGATATAAAAATCGTTAATATGAATAAGTATAGGATGGTGTAGGGTATTTAATCGTACACCGTAGCTGCTGTAGAAGTGCTTTTATTCGTTTTGTTTAAAATAATGGTAGCAAAGTTTAAATTTTACAACATATTTATATTAAATTACACGTGTAAGTCAATCTTGAGTACGTGAAAATCGTGTTTTCTGCCAAGGTTCCTAGGCTTAGTGTATAGCTACGTGAAAAAGGTGCACTTATCGACATTAAGCAAACTTGTACTATTTTTATGCCATAGATAGTGTTTTAAATATTTTAATGCCTATCGACTTAGACTCGGGTGCTGGTCCAAGGATGAATTCTATTGAAAATGGATTGCACCGAAAAGTTTTTACGACCACTATTCATGTGAAACTCGATTTAAAGTTCTAAAAATTTATTGAAAAAATATTTGAGACAAAATAGGTCAGTGTACCAAGTTTCCTCATAATATATCAAAAATTTCGACCTTTAGGTTCAACGTAAGTATATCTAACCCAACATCGTCCGAAGGGATAGACGATCGGAAAGGCAGACAGGGCAGGTCGGGGGGACACAAAGACGCAGAAATAAATAGACAAGCTAAAATCGACTCAGTAAATAAGTCTGAATTGATCGGTGTAATATGGATTGGTGGATATGCTTTAAAGCTTTCTGAATACGTCATACTCTTGGACAAACTTTATTTAGCCTGCAGCACAAGTGGGGCATTAACTTTTAAGTCGGTATCCGTTGTTCTCGATAATAAGTTTTGCTTTTACTTTTCTAACGGTTGTAGGTGTGGTTTCGGAGGGACAACATTCATTTTTGAATTTGTATTTACAAGCCAAGAATAAGAGTCTGGTTCCAGATTCGTGTTTCACGTGTAAATTACAAGTGACCATAGTAGGATGTAACGGGCAGATGAACTCAATTAAATCGATTCAAAATCTCATGCAGATCGCAGTAGGTATGTGCAATAAAGTCGTTTAGGGATACTTTTTAAAGTGGTTTAGGTAGGATTCATAGTCGACCCAGTTATGTTTGTCCATTCTTACTTTATCTCTCCGTGGTTCTTTGTTATAAAAATCGACACAGTTATTTGGAGTGTATATCTTTGACATGGCGGTCGCATATGAAGCTTGAAAATGGACATTGTTGATGTACGAAAACGGTTACTTACAATCCGTGGTAAGTTTGTTTTAAGCCTCAGTACAAATATCAGAGGTACAAACATGCCGCTATAGTTTTACTTCTAAGACGATCTTACTATGCCTCTAAGAATTTTCCAAATTGCGAAGTTCTTGCCCTGTAGTGTTTGCAGGCTTAGGGGAACTGTATAAGTTGTCTCGTCGAAGTGTGTGCCATATACTATTTAGGTGCTTTGAATAAATCAAGCTTGGCGCCAAAAAAAGCTTTATAAAACCATGGTACCTCTATTTGGCAGCATTGGGTGCGTGCCGACCAAACAACACTACATCTTGTAAACTACTGCTACTGGTGCAATTGCGTTGATTAGTTACGAAGAAGTAGTTGCCAGATGTGGAAGAGCATTAGCGGTTGATTATTCATCATGATGTCATGTTGTAAGACCAGTCCAGGAAAGTTAGCTCACCGGGACCTACAATCATCTCATTGAGTAGACGTTCATGGTCGATGGTAGCTTCAATCGATGACTTATTGATTGCCTAAGCAGCGCTTTCATACTTAAAAAAACTAGTGGTCCGTTCGGCACGGGATCCATTTTCCGGCAAAATGATGGGAAAATGTGTAGCTTACGATCAACATTGCTATCAACAAAAAAACTTCGCTATGCTTTTGTACTTAATGCCAAACGACAAGAATTCTTATGCATACCTGATAATTACCGACTTCGTTGGCCCGTTAAACCGGAGTGGATTCGCGTTAAAACGGATATAGCTTTCTTGCTTATTGTTGTTGTTGTTTCAAAAATATATAATTTTAATCTTGCACTAACTTTAATTGAACTTATTATTGAATTTCCCATATAAGCTTCTAATTAGAACGCACTTTCATTTCCTTCTTCCTTAATACTTTGCCAAAATCTTAATTATAAGTCTTAATATTTAATTTGTTTGATAAATAATATTTACGAAACTAACTTAAATTCTATTTAAGGTAAATAAAGACAAATTCGGTGATATACATAAACATACGAAAAAAAAAAGTGAAAGTTATATACTTAAGCTTATATAGAATTTTCTATATTTATCATTTGATAAATCACATTTGAAATTAACAAAAAAAAAAAAAGAAAAAAAAAACCTAGTTTATCGCTTTGTTTTTTATTTCTTAGTTATCTCAACATAACATAAATATGTTTCCATATATGGTTCTCTCATAAGCATTGCTATGTATTAAGTTCATATTGTCTTTAAAATTCATTACATTGAGTTACGAACATTGCGAACAACTTATTTTACTCATGTGCATTTGAAATTGAAAATTGTACTAACGGAATATTACAGTTATTCTGGGTTTAATTCATTTAGATTCCTTGTCATATGACATCATTAGTTTTATTTTTTCCACTTCTATTCTACTTAAATATGAATTAATTTGATCGCAGCATCAGTATAAATTCGTTTGAGCTTCAGAACTGATCGGTCATAGAGCGCATTATCTTATCTATATAGTGAAAGTTATAATTATCATTATAACTGAGAGTGAAATTTTTTTAATAAAGAAACGGAAGAGAAAATAGATGGCTTTCTTTAAATTTTGGGCAGTGTTGTTATTGGTGTTTGCCTTAACGCAAAATATTGACAGTACAACAACAACAACAACAACGACAACGGGGGCAACGAAAGCAACTGCAGCAACAACAACAACAACTACGAATAAGCCCCATCCTGGTCCACAAGGTAAAGGGAATTAAAAAAGATTTCGCAATAAGTAAGTTTTTCCGTTTCTTTCCCGTATACAGATCCTAAATGTTTGCAACCTAAAGAACCCGGTCCCTGTCATATGAATTTAATGCGTTATTATTATAACCCGGAAACGAATGCATGCGAAGAATTTAAGTTTGGTGGTTGCAAAGGCAATGAGAATAAATTCGGCTTTAAGGAGACTTGCGAAAAAGCTTGCAAAAAACCCACCGACTCAAGCAATAGTGGTACAAAAACTCCCGTCATCGTTGAAGGACATAAGGCACATCCTAGTACCCATAAACCCGAGCTTTTGAATACGCATAAATCTGATGCTTTACATGCAGCAGGTACTGAAAAATCGACATCTACGACGACTACTAGCAAAACGGTCACCTCTACTACCGCATCTTCAAAATCTAAAACTCATTAATTAGATGATCTTTAGCGAGCTAAATATTGTGTCGTAAAAGCCCCGACTATTGAAGAAAATGCAACAGAATTTAATCAAAGAAATCAAAAAAATCCTCATCTTCAACATTTTTGAAAAGTAAGCAACAATCATTAAGATGATCGGAGTTAGAGCAAATCGCAAAACCCGATCGTTTGTCAAACCCAAAGCAAAAACTGTGACTACTATCCATTAATCATGGAGCAATATCCGAGCAGCAGACAAAGCAAAAACGCCCTGTACTGCTGATCCAGCCTACCACTCATTAATCATGGATCAACAACAATGGAGCAAGAGCGGCAGTGAAAGACCGGCTGCAAAAAAAAAAAGCTTCTACTACGTGATCTCACGCAACTAAATTAATTAATTGACTGTTGATCAAACTGTGTTAGTACGGTTGATATAACGTCTTCTTCTACCACTGCGGACGTTAGAGCCCACGCTGTTACCAATGACGCCCATAAATGCAAAGTTTGTTAAACGACATTCACTACAATTTAACCTAAGTCACTTGCTTGCATATAATAATAAAATTTTCTTATTTCATCAGCATGCGTTTGCTTAATCTTTTGTGCCTACAATGATCATTTATTAAGGTGACTACGCAATCTAAGTCCTTTGCTTTTAAATAAATATTTATTCTTTCAATACTAAGTTTAAAATAGTTTTATGATTAATCTTTAGCGCGATATTTATTATATTTTCATTATTATTATTGTTATTATTATTTTCGGTTTTGGTTTTACGTTAAGCTTTGTTTGTTTTTACGTTTATTTGTTTTCAAAAATACTTCAAAATAAAGCCATAAAATGTGAGTTTATTGAACGTGATTAACATTGAACGTTGTTGTATTTGTATGTAATTATTGTGTGTGAATGTAAATCACTCGGTTTACTTAATAATAGTCACTTTAAATCGGATAGTTAGCTATTTAAGGGCAAGAGAAAGATAAAGAAAAGGTGTGAATGAGTGGTAGAGGGAAAGAAAAAGGAGGCGGGAAGTGAAATTAAGATAGAGAGAAAATATTAACAAAATGGTTTACATGCTATTTAGGTCGAATTAAAGTCACCTGCTTGCTTCGTACACAATCATAAGCAGCAATATGATGATGATATTGTATTCTTAGTGCGGAGGGTACCAAGCGCGCGCAAAAGGGGAAATGCGTAAAGAAAGTAAGTAAGAAAATTTTATTTTATTTGACTTTATTTGCAAAAAAAAAAAAAAACTCAAGAAAGTGAATAACTACAAGAGACTTAAAAGACTTATAATCATTAGACTATAACTCCTGTCGTATCACTCATAGAACGTAAGTGAAAAGTTTGGTCGATCTATTTGTTGTAGTTACTGCAGTTATGAGGACTCAGTAAAAAACATTTTTTTTTTATTTTCAAGAACTTGTGTTGTGTGGCAGGTGGGTTCTTTAACCTATTCGCCTCTGTTTCGACCTGCGTGTACGAATTTCCAGTCTTTTGCCAAAGTTGTAGTTAAAATGTGACCGTGAGAATGTTTACCGCAGACGAAGAAATCCATTTATTTAGATTTTGGAACGAATCGATTTCGAATTTGATACCGATCAAGAACGTACAGAATGTGTCTTAAGTTCTTTTCTGGGTTTTATAAACGGTTAGAAAAAATAAATCTCTTTGGTTAGTGGGTTTAATAAGATAGTTATTTGTCGCCATGAATTACAAGAATTAACACTGGAACAATATTAACTCTCAGCTTTGGATACAAATTCATGCTTGGTAATCGTTGTATGCGCCAATTTAATCCATGAATTAATGTTCACTCCCAGAGCCACTTTTATAACGGAAGACGATAAATGCCGCGATTAAGAGGCCGCTCCTGACGACATTCGCAATTTAATATTTAATTTTAAGATATGTCTCTGTATTCCAAAAAAAAAAAAAAGTAGAGCAAGAGGTAAATATTTTGTGCGCTCTTTAAGAAATGCGATTTCTGCGATCTGCACGCAACTTGCGCTCACTTCACTTCTAGCGATTTGTTTTACATTAAATCAAATTGACGCTATTTTTGCAAAAAGTTTTTAATATTAACTAGATAATCATATTAAATAAAAACAAATAAGAATATATAGAGGGAAATAGCCGATCAAAAAATGCCCTACACTATTTGACTAACATCATTATATATAATAAGGAGTTATATGGAAAGTGGTCGAAAAAGTGGTCCAATCCAAAAGATTGGCCCTAGCGTTCCTACTTGGGTCATTACACGTTGTTGTGGGAATTTTCATCAAAATTGCGACCCGTACACAAGAACGCAAGAAGGACAGACTGACAGATGACTTAATTTATAATAAGTAATAGTTGATAAGTCCTTCTGAGTGTTGTATACGTCCACACAAGTGCATAAAAAGTCAACCGAACAACATTCTCTTCCTTAGTCGCCTGTCTGTCTGTAATAAGCACTATACTCTTTATACACTCTATAATAAGCACTGTTTAATTTAACTTAAATAGTGAGTTGACATTAAAATCTTTTATTATCAGTCCGATTGTATAAATCAAGTTTGAACATGTCCGTCCGGCTTTCTAAATTTTGTAAGCAAAGGTTCAAAACAAAACCTAAATTTGGTACACATAACTTGCTTCCGAAATTATCTTCGACTGCTTAAAAGCTGATAATAAATGGAAATGAATTAATGAAAAATTTCAAGATTTTTTTTTCTTCAATTTCCATAATCTATCGCAAACATCAGCCGATAAGCGAAAATACTCCAAATTTTTGTTATGAAAACGTTTACATGAAAAATATAAAATAGTTCAGAAACAGAATTAAATGAAATTTTGCACCGATACCACAGAAGAAGGGGATCCATAAATTTAATATATTTACCCTTATGTCTTATTTACATATGTCAAGTCTACTTAAAAAGCATAAGTGGTTTGCATTTAAGCTATTAATTACTTCCATTCAACGCGGAAGAAAAAACTTTTAAGGAAAAAGATGTCTTTTGACAGATAAAAACGTAAAGGGCATCATAAACTTGTACGTGAGACGAGCAATATATTCAAATTTATTCAAACACAAATTACTTTATTAGGTAATACGTAATATTTTTTTTTTTGTTCACAACCACAGTCACTTTGTGTATTAGAGGTACATTAAATTTGCTATAAGGTGTGTCGCTTAGAAATACACTCATTGAAGATCCTGTCAACTATGCACAGAATGGTCGAAACGATTTATCTGTCATTTGGTGTGCTCTACGTAGTTAAGAATTTGACTTGACTTGAAACATCGAGTACGACGTCGTGGATCGCCCATTTCCAGTTAACTGAGCTTTCGTTATGCGATAAGGCTATAACAGCTTTGAAGACTGGGCTGTTCCGCTGGTAATTTTATGTAAAGACTCCGGAGGATACCATAGGTAGAGCAGAATGTAGAATAGCCCAGGACGTAACGTCAGCCTGTCCGTTAAGAAAGTTTCGATAGTCCGCCTGTCTACGTAAATGTTTCTGCGCGTGTATTTCTTGAGATTGCGGAGTGGTTCTTGGATAGAACTTGAAACCGAACTAACCACCTTTGCAATGGCATATGCATCCATCCTTTGCAACCTTTTGGCAATACAATTTATTACCCATGAGTAGATGATGAAAGATATTACTTTCTGTTATATAAAATCTAGTTTTTTATGGTTTGGCTGAGGGTAACATTTGCGAAAGCGTGTAGTAGTTAAGATTGGATAACATATTTTTCTTCTATTTCGTGTTGTAGATTTGAACATTCTTTGATAGATTAGAGCAGCCTTATATTCGTTCGAAGAACGATTTAGATTGTTTCTACATCGTGTATAGTATATACATAATGATACTTAATTGGAGTGCTGTCGCCGTTTTTTTAAAAGTCTCGGTACATGTTCAAAAGTCATTTTTCCGGCGGCATCTCTTCGCTCGACGAATAAAGTGTCTGCCTTGGCACGAAACTGCTTATCGAGGAACTTCGACTAACTAACCGCGCATGTACTTTTTCTCTTCGCAACAATCGTTTTTCAGACCATTTGTGTGCCCCCGCAGGTAAGACGTAAGCATCAAATCCCTGAAAAGTAAAATGGGAAAAATGTTCTCCCTGCCTTCGACTTCGCCGATAATCTCACCTCTTGCAAGTACTTGCAAGTACTTACGCTTAGTATATTTGCTGTGCTCGGATTGAAAGTAGCAGTGCGTTCATAAGCAGACCTATTTAGTTCGAAGGGAAAGTTTCTTTCTATTGCCCGTTTTTTTATTTTGCTTTCTGAGACTGAAGTATCTACTGAAATCCCTCAAGGTCCTTACGTAAGACATTTCACCAAACTTTACGGTGCTAAACTCATTTGTGTACAGCCTTAGACTTTTGCGATCTCATATTATTAATTATGTATGATATATATTTATATTGAAGACCTATTGCGAACACATATTTAGCTTGGTTTTTTTGACATTTCTAAAATTGGGTGTTAGACCATTTTCAAAATAAAGGGCCCATGTAAGGCGGCATATTATATGTGCCGCTTAAAGTGTTTACGCTTCCCTAATATTATTATTACGTTTGCTTAGTTGTATAGTGAAAAACGATAAAAAGCAAACAAGTAACGAGTGTCGAAAGATTCGGTATAAGTTAAATATAATAATTTTTTTTCTCTTAATTTATATACCGAAAAAACCCATAATTTTTTGAAAATATTTACTTTACTGATTATGAACATACATATCAACATCATTTGCGTGCACGTACAGCATGAGAGCTCTCTTAAAAAATTTACTAACCATTGGCTATAAATATCAACATTCAATTGACATTCCGTACATTTTAATTTCGAATTTTAAATACTAAAGTTTTGACATTTACTCATAGCGAAAATGAAGTCTTTATTCGTTTTATTTATATGCTGCGCTTTTTTAATTGTAAATCTTAAGGCAGCTTCAGTTACAACCGCGATCGAAAAGTTGAAAAAGGATTCAAGTGACGTCAATGTTACTAAGGATGATATGGCAGTAAAAGATGGTAAAGAGTCTGCGTCTGGTGATTACTTCTTCCTTTTCTTTCAAAGTAATAAAAATTTCTTTCTGATCACTTTATTTAGCTGTATCTAAAGATTGCCAACAACCTAAAGAAACTGGTCGCTGTTTTGCACTCTTTTATCGCTTCGCATTCGATATGAAAACAGGCAAATGCGAGGAATTTGTTTATGGCGGTTGTGCTGGTAATTCCAACAATTTCGCAACGAAAGAAGATTGCGAAGAACGGTGTCTAACGAAATCTGAAGATAAGGCCACAGAAGCTTCCATTTCTACGACAATAATACCTGATAGTTCAAGCGATAGTTCGAAGTCACAAATGTCATGAAGAATTTTCTAGTATGAGTACATTTCAATACAGTTTTATAGGTACTTATGGTACGATGAGGTGATATTTTGTTTTTTTTATACAAACTTATTAAAAAATATATGTTGATTTAAAGCAAATGAAATGAAAAAATTGAATTACTTTTCCATTTTTTTTGGCGGCCTCTGTTCTCTTTTGCGTAAACCTAAAGTTGATCTACCAATTACCGACTTTACAAGGACCGATTAATCCATGAACGATTAAGCCAAATCTGGCGAACTTTAATTGTTCGATTGTGTGTAACGCGACAAGAGATTTGTAAGCATTCGTTCCTTTCATTGCGCTTGAACGTGGCGTCCCTTTTGTTCGTCAGCTTCTCAAGTCTCATTTAAAATGCGATGTTTCCCATATCTGTTAGCTAGTCGACGGTCATACAATTATGTTTTTATTATTATATGTTGAAAGAAGATTGGAATGTTCGTTTTGGTAACTCCTACAATCCCGTTCAACCACTATTACCAAACATTTTATTGTTGTAAACGAAGGACAGAAGTTTCAAGAGTAGAGTCGTCTACCTTTCAAACGAGAGTGTTGAGACGACAGGGAACCTTTGTGATATATGCATATTCTTTATCACTATCAAACTCTGTATTGATTGAAGCTTGTGGGTGTGTATGGCGCGAACGGTCGAGCTTCTCTAAAATAATCCTTAATCGCAAGCTTGATCTTTTCATTGTTGTAAATTTTTGAGCACTGAGTCAGTTTTCCAATTTTAAAAGAAACGATTAGTCCATGAAGGATTAACCTACATCTGGCAAACTTTAATTTTTCGCTTGCGTCTAAAGCGACCAAGGATATGTAAGCTCTTCCATTGCGCTTGAATGTGGCATTGCTTTGTTCGTAAGTTTCTCGCGGTGTACAGCACTTCTCCTCGCTTACCTGTCATCTGTCCAACGGTCGTGCATTCATATTTTTTAATAACTTTCCGCAATATTGTCATCTTATTCGGTCAAGTAGCGTTCGTTTTGGCAACTCTTACTACCTCATTGGAGGTAGCTTGAATATTTTGCTTATCGTAACATATAACAATGCAATTTTTTTTTATTTAAGTTTAACATGGTTGCCTGTCAAATAACTGCAAAATTAAATCATTAAATTTTATATTTTAACCGGGCATTCAAAGTATGTATGTTTTTTATGAAAACAGATTTTGAAAGTAAATGCATGCGTATCGTTTCTACAAATTTCTGAATATATTTATCCCTTACATGAGATCGATATCTTCCTTATTTGGTTAGTTGATAAAAAAAATTGTATAATTTTTTGATATAATATTCAAATTTTTATACTCAACACCCCCCTCGATATATGTTTGGGTGAATATAGGCAACGACCAGAATACTTGATCTTTTATTATTTTATTATACCGACTAATTCATAAAGTGATTTTGAGCTTGGATGTTTGCCTGTCTGTCTGTCCATCCCGCTTTCTTGCGTTCAACTTATAGGCCGCAATGTTTGAAAAACTCTTATGAAATTTGGTACACTGATGTGTTTTGATCCAAGGACGAATACTGTTAAAAATGGTTCAAATGGTTTGTGTGGATGTATGCAACATCCTGAAGGATTTGAGATAGAGCTACTCAAGTCAGAATCATTTTCTGAATCGATTTAAGCTTGTCTGTCCGTCTGTCCTTCTAGTGTTCAATCTATAAATTTTGGAGAAAATGATGATGAATCTTGGCACAAGGACGAGAACGCTATTGAAAGTTGTTCAGTTTGGACAGCTTTTCGACCACTTCTCCTATAATGCGTTACATTGGCAAGTCGTTACATGAATATTTTAAGGTTAGTATAGGTTATTTGAATGGTGAGACGTGGCGAACTATAGTCTTTTTGTTTGTTCTTTTAATAATCTCTTACATGGAGTACACACCTAGAATAGAGCCAAATTCTTTTTCATTTTATTTGCTTTACTCATAGTAACAATCGGGTATATATTTAAAATAATGAGTGATTGCAAGCAAACATATGCGTCATATTAGTTTACAACTTAATCAATCACCTTAAAAACTAATTACACTTGGTATCGGTTAGCTGGGATCTTGGTATAAGTGATTCCCGGTATCATTGTTTACAAAAAAATATTGCAATGTAGTGGTGTAGTATCAAACGATATCGACACTTGTTCATGAGGTAAATATAATTTATTTGAAATTGTTTTTGGTAAACTAAATTTTTCTCTATTTAATACATGTAAAAGCTGTGCATTTCTGATCTCAACTAATCAGTTTGTGTTTAGACTTTGCTTTAGTTACTCTAGTCTAAGTTTAGAAAAATTATTTTAATAATTAATATTAAAAAACAAAAAAAAAAAGAATGAAAATGAAATTGCTAAATTTTCATTTTGCCATTATCGTTATCCTTATCTCATTGGCCGCTAACGTCATAGCAATTAAAGATGGTGAGCCTTTGCCTTTCTGATAATTCTTATGCTATTTTTATTTTATAAAAACTTTGGTTGTGCTTTAGCTGTTTGCGGTTTACCGGATTCAGCGGATGGTGATGGTAAGATAGCTTGCGTTGCATATATTCCATCCTGGACTTACCGATCGGCCACTAATGAGTGCATACAGTTCATCTATGGTGGCTGCGGCGGTAATAAAAATCGTTTCTTTACTCAAGAAGATTGCGAAAATAAGTGCAAAGAATGATTAAATAAAAATCTTTTCTTAAAATTCCAGTTGTTCTCATTTTAAAACTATGCATCAATGGTGTACGTTGGCGTTATGACATAAATTTAAAACGCTATCTATTCATTCGTAGATAAAGGTGGAAAGTAGTAGTAGTTGGAAAGGAAAGTTCAAAGTTTTTGTTTTGTGTGGACAGAATATAATCTTTCTAATTGCTTGGACGTTTCGTTTATGACATACAGAACTGTTTATCCGACCCTTCAAAACTCGGATCAATAAATGTCCGTCAAAAGATTTGGAGATGGTTTAGCCGTGACCGCTTATCCATCCGTCTGGCTTGCGTCCATGCATAGTTACTGTTGAAATTTCCACGCCACGTTGGTCAAATTGCGAAGTTCTCTTAGATTAAGGAAACGAACAATGGTGCCTAAATAGTTCTCATCGGCAAATTAATATGTCAGGAATAGACTCGAAGTTTTTACCTTACACCACTTGCGGTGCAAGAGTTTATTAAGCTTGTGCGGATGTATGCAACACCCAGAACGATTTGAGATAGATCCGTCTTTTGCTTACTTTTTGAATCGATCAAAGTCTGTCTGTCCATGCGTCCAATTTATATTCTTGTGTTCAGCCGATTGTTAGAATTTGTTACACTTTGACGCATTTTGGTCGAAGAGCGAACGCTATTGACAATGGTTCCAATCGGAACACTTATGTGACTCTCACTTTCTCTTAAAAAGTTGTTATATGAGAAACTCTATTAAGCGAAATAGTGCAGGATGTTTGAATGGTGGGCTGTGTGTCCATTTGTTTGTAGCTAGAATACGTTACTTTGAAGAAATAGTTTCCAATGAAAATCAGTTGCAATCAAATACTCAAACAATTAAGTTCGTTTTACTTAACGTAATTTAATAATTGTAATTACATTATTATAATTATTACTATTTGTATTTTTTCTCGATTTATTTAGTTTAAGTTGAAAGCTTTAATTTCTTTTTCTTATTAAATATGATTGAGTTCTTCATTAAATTGAATGAATTATTGGTTGTATTTTGAAGTTTGTGTGTTGCCATGGCTTGAATAACCAATATGAACAAATTAATAAATAATTTATCTTCTTTCCCCTTCGTATGTCGAAGCTTGTTTTGTCAAAAGGCGCAGAGAGCCGACCTTTTGTCTGTAATTTTATAGGCAAATTTATTCCTAACACATAAAAAAAATTTAAGCCAAGCTTTTAATTTCTTGGGAGAAGCAGTCTCAACTTTCGAATCGTTTTCAGGCTCAAAACCATTCAACGGTCGTCTCGATGAAGCTAAATTAACGTATTTTTGTTAAGAGATTTTTTTAAGTGGACATAAAATATTCCTATCGACACCGGTTAGTGAATTAGAGAAATTAGATATCAACACGCAAAAGATATTAGGTTCCAAATGCCCAGAAGGATCAAGGCACTTTTTGATTCAATATTTTTTTGTAAGACCTCTCTCTTGTAATGGCCTCTCTCATCGCTTAAAATTATAGGCTTATCTATGACAAGCCAATTAAAGGTTAAATAAAATAAATCGCATTTTTAAACTAAAAAATTTTTATACAAAAAGGAAAATAAGAGAAAAAAACGCAGAAAGAATACTTAAAGAAGAAATATGCATAAATCTATGGTGGCCCGCAAGCGATATCAGTTCACTTGCGAACGTGTCAGTAATCGATGCAGATATGCAAAAGTTTGGTGACGGATCTAGTATATTAACTGAACGCAAAGCGATATTTGTTGTTAAAATTTGTAGTTTAACTGTGGGTTCGGCAAATACGAATGTGAAGAAGATTGGATTAAATGGTAGGTAAGCAGATCAGGACAGAAACGTCAATTAGAAGTTTACAAAAGACCCTAAGTGGATTAAATTATCCATAACTGAATTCACAAAGGATGCTACGTTAGTTACATTGTTTATAATTCGATTTAGAATCCTTGAGTTCTAGAAGAGGAAGTTGTCTTAAAAACCCGTGAGTCAATGACATCATTTAAAAACTTTAGCAGGAAGGAAATGTCCAGGCTAAAACTGGAGAGGTAAACCGTCGGAAATGTGGACAGACGAACAGATAAGTTTCGATTGATTGTAAATCGATCGGTATAATAAAAGGAGTGTCCAGCTGGAGTTCTTCTAATATATCCTTGTATCTTAAGTTGTGTAGGGTATAAAAAATGGCAAATAAAATAGTTTTCGAAGGAATTTGAGTTTAATAAACCACTACGCATATAACTAATTCCGCCTTTTCGATTGATAATAGCGGTTAGCAACCAAAGCTGCCTATAATCCTGTTCGCTTTGCTACTATTAAAGTAAACAGTTGTCATTAGCTCTACTTATAAATCGTTTTGAAGGAAGATGTCGTCGATAACCTCACAAGAGCGAGTCATCTTTCTATACCAAAATTTATTTTGTGACAAAGATGGGAAACGTATGCAGGTAACGATGCACTCTACTCTACATCAAATATTTTTTGTTATTCTTTTCAAATATATATATATATGTTAAAAAAAAAAAAATTCGTTCAGGATTCATTTACGCATCTTATAAATAAATTAACTTTATGTATAAGAGATTTCAAAATAAGAGAACGTGCAAGCATTTATTAAACATTAAAATAAAATCTCATATTAAATACCCGAAGGTCAAGTTGGTGTTATTAGAAGCTTTTCTCCCGATTGCGAATCGCGATCTCCGCTTAATGTTTTCAAAAGTCATGCATTCCTGAACTGAACGAATCAGTTCGCAATTAGACTTTGCTGATAGTGTTACTAAAAAAAAAAAGAAATAAAAGATATTGTGCTGAAAGATGAAACTATTTAAAGCTTTGCTTGTAGTTATTGCGGCCCTTATCTCGCTGACCAGTGTAGCTGCATTTAAAGATGGTAAGCTTTTATCTTTATGCAATACTTTCACGTTCCTGCTTTTAATTTACATTTGATGCATCATATTGTAGCTATTTGCGCTTTACCTGGTGGCGCTAATGGCGATGGAAAGATAGCATGCCTTGCCTACATTCCATCTTGGTCTTATCGAGCGGGCTCCAATGAATGCGTCCAATTCATATATAGCGGTTGTGGCGGCAACGAAAATCGTTTTTCAACACAGTATGAATGCGAAAATAAATGTAAAGAGTAATTAAATAAAAAATTATTGCCTTCAATTGCTTCTACTTTTAAAAAAATTTTATTTTAAACTACGTAAATACATAGGTGTAAACTAAAATTGTTTATTAGCTAAATATATAATATAATTATGAGCTGTTTAATCCGCTCAGAGTAGTTTGCAAGAACCTAAATGACGTCTATCACTTATTCTCGTTATCGGACTCTTTAAAGTCCAATAAAGCAACATTGCTTAATGTGCGCGATTTACCTATGTCTTACTTAAACTAGCTTTTATCCTTAAAAGTCGTTACGATTCGAAAATGAATTGTTGTTAAGTATTATCGGTTGCCAGACTTATGCATGTTTGCGATGGCTTAGGGGTTCATTTGCAATTTGGTCCTGTACCGATTGTAAGTGTGGCTCTATGCTGGTTGTGTACATGCTTTTTTTTTTCTTTTCCTTCTTATTTGTTTTATTGTATTTATATTAAGTTTTATTATTAATTTAATATAAGTTTTGCTTTAAGTGCCAATTGAACTCGACTGTTATTTGTTCAGTTAAGTTTCATGTATAAGCAGAATTAAAATAAATAAAAAAGTGAAGATAGCCCATCAACACACGTCTCAAGTGTTGAGGTTTCTATCTTTGCTGTAAAGGTAAATACCAACAACCAATAAAATAATTACTAAATTTGAGGATTTGTAAAAATCGTGCACACATAAAACAAACGAAAGCGTTAATTATCACCACAAAACCAAGAAAATATATTATTGGTGCTAATTGCCATGCACAGTCCAGGTAATTTACTGAAAGGGTGGAACGGACAAATCGAGTTATAACAAGTAAAAGAACTATAGAGAGAGGCAGCTCATCATTAAATACCATGCACTACTTCACTTACTCAAAATATGGCCGCATATCGAAAGCGGTCGAATTAATGGTCCGATTTGAACGTGTTCCAATAACGTACAACCGTGGGCCAAAACATGTTGGTGAGTCAAATTTCATCAAACTACCTGGAGGGTTGCAACCTATAGGATGAACATAATAACACGAAATGGACAGACGGACAGAAGTTTAGATCGATTCAGAAAAGGACTTGACTTAAGAGAATCACGCTTAATTAATTATAAACAACTGCGACTGTGACCGAATCTTTCAAGGCAACGTTATGAACTTCAATTTTAGATGAAACATTGTCAAGTCTTGGGCACAGGTTGGTATTGAAAATAGACAAAACCGGTTAAAGGGTACGACTACAATGCAACATAATCTGAGAGAACTTCTGCTTTCTGAGTTGTTCGCGCATTACTCGTAAGTCACAGTCGATATTCGTCTATCCTACAAACATGAAAGAAGCCATCCATGCGCGTACAATATTGTGGGGTGTGGAAGTTTTTTGTTTTTTTAAGCTTTTTTTTTTTAAAGGAACATATACATATATATACATATACATACATAAATATACATACATATATATATATATACAGCTTTTGTATATAAAAGATTCGCCTCCAGCCGTATATAATTTCCTTACAAATTAGTTTCGTTAAGCATTCTTTCTCCGATTAAAATTCTTTTTGCCTATTGTTATAGAAAGCTGTGAATTTCTTAACCGATCCAATCAGTTAGCGTTTAGCCTTTACTGAAAGTCTTACGAAAAAATAAGTAAATTCATGCTGAAGGATGAAGTTAGTTAAAATTTTCCTCGTTGCTATTGCAGCACTTATCTCGCTGACCGCAACCGTAGCTGCTTTAAGAGATGGTAAATTGGTATTTGTCCTTATCTTTAATTTTCTTCTGATGCACTTGTTTTCAGCTGTTTGCGCTTTGCCTGCTGCTGCTGATGGTATTGGTGGATTACAATGCAGAGCCCACCAGGTATTGTGGTCTTACAAAGCGGTCGCCAATAAATGCATACAATTCATATATGGCGGTTGTGGTGGCAATCGCAATCAGTTTCCAACACAGCGTGAATGCGAAAATAAATGTAAAGAATAATTAAATACAAATCTTTTTTCTTTAAATGTTTTTAGTTTTGAAATTTTTATTTTTCAATCGATTTTCTTAGCTATGTACGTATATGATTTATAGTGAGATCCTTAAGTACTACTTATTTAGATACTTATTTACGTAGTGTTTACTGAAAACAAGATGTAGAGATTGTGTTTTGTGTATACACCTAATTCTCTTTTTACGCGGTAGATACGTACCTGAGAAAACCGTGCAAAAAAGTCGTGCAAACAATATATTTGCGGAAGATGCTAAATTTGGGGACATGTTCCACAGCTTGGAAAAATCATGTAGAATGAAAAAATCCCAACTATTTACCCAAAAGAAATTTTTTTTTGAGATTCCTGCAAGCAGAGTATTTGTTCTGTGAGGGCCTTAGCCCATTTCATGCCCATTTCTCACTCATAAAAACAGTTATTACAAGAACGGTTATCTTTTCATTTAGGTTACTTCATTTTCAGCTTGTTGATTAGTTACAATCAAAAACGAAGTTTAAATTACCTGTTATTACTCTCTGCCCTGTTATTAAATTCACTCCAATACATTCTTTTCTTCTTTTAAAGTTCACAAGGGCGCGTGTGGCGACATTAGTCCATCACTAGAAACCCGACCGTCTTGTCTTGCGGCTTGCTCTCGATTCTCCCCTGATTCTCTCTCCTACTTGATCGGACCGGCCTGTCCCTTGACGCGGACAATTTGAAGCCAGCTGGTTTACGGCTCCCGTCAAGGTTGCCTTTTGGCAACCTTACCATGTCCCAATCAGAAAACATCCGTTTCTGACTGGGGTTCCCTTATCTTCTGTCGTCCGTCTCGTACTTTGCTTAATTCTATTCTCAATTCTTAACCTAACTTAGCCTAGCACTCCCCCCTCAGAGACGATGAACCTGTGAGGCTAAAACGTGGGACGATTTTGCCTCCTCACAGTTCTTTTTGGTGAACCGTGCTATTTCAAAATCGGGTAAAAAAGAATCGTGTAAAAAAAGATAATAATTTGTAGTGTAAAATTTCTGGGATTTTGTACATTTTTACGTTTTTATGTTAAAGCCGGGATAACACCTTTGCAAAAGTCTGAAGAAAGCTTTTTTCGATCGCATATTTTTCGATGACAAAAAATAATGTTCAAATAAGTTATCATGCGAATGTTTGAATACTAAAAAAAAAGATGGCTTTTAAGAAACCTTAAAAACTGGCAAGAGGTTCTATCGCGAGTAACGCAACTGGTGCAAAATTGAAATTAAAACAAAGGAGAAAATCTGTATTCGACTTTAAATAAATTTTTATTGATTTGGTTTATGAGTAATTAGCAAAGAACTCATTTTGTTTGCTTTTGAGAGCAGAGATATTTTCATTCTGCGTTGTATTGTGGGCAAGTTCTTTGGCCGTTTTGAACTTCGGCAAAATGAGCGCACCCCTCGTACTTAGGTAATGGATTTAAAAATATTGATATGTTGCTGAAGATGTGACATGTGCCTACATGTTTTTAAGAAACAATTCCGTATCGACACGATCGCAACAACAGTTTCTTGGTAGAAGTGAATTGAGGTCGATTACGTCTTTGTTGCGGAATATTTTTTAGTAGTGTGAATGTTTGCTGCGTCACTATTTTGATCAAAAACGCATTAACGACACCACAGGAGAATACGAACCAATAACATTGCCGAAAAGCTGAACACCCTTGATGTCCCAAGCATCTGAAACCATTACAAAGGAATACTACATCAAATAATTGATGCAATTGTGTCAAAAAATGGGCGCAATACTACTGCGACAAAAAAAAAAGTGAATTTGTTTAGAAAATGAAAAAACATTGTTTATCACTGTCACTGCGTTCATAAAATTCAAAGGAAGGAATTCATACTGCACAATACTACGATAATCGAAGAAAACTGTTAATATCAACTTTGGCGCCATTTTTCGGTCTTGACTTAGCTTTTTTACAATATTTGCTCGATGGATCGGTTGTTTCCGCATAGATCCAAGTTCTAGTTCTATGTAGAGATTTACTCTCCATCTTCGTTAATGCTTGATTGCCTGAAATCATTGCTTCGCAGACAGCAAGCATGTTGTAACCCGAAATGCTCTACCCCAGTCGCTGTTGTCAGCAGACATTATTCCTACCGATTAAAACAGATTTTAACAGAAAAATTATTATGTTTTTGAATAGTTCTTCGATTCTTATGATGATACCCGAACACTGGTTCTTTTGAAGGAAAGGATGAAATTTTTTTCGAGACGAAATTCGAAAATTTTTCTGAAAGATGGGAAAAACCATGGACAATATTTGGAGTAAGATAAATTGTACCAATTTCTCTGAATAAAGCTTCAAAGTTACAAGAAAAATTCTCAGAACTTAAATAAAAAATTCTTTTCTTTTTCTTTATTCTTTAAGCTGAATTCTGCATAAATAGGTAAATAACTAATAAAAAAAAATAGTATCCAAAAACAAGTACTCTCTTATGTACATAGATGACTTCAAAGGAATAGTCGTCTTTTCGATGTGAGATCCGCATTCTATCGAAAATAAGGGAAAAGCGCATAGCTCTGCTGACAGACAATGCGTGAAAGTATTTTTTTAAGATTTTTTTGAAATGAAAGCTAAAGTTATTGTGTAAGCCACAAACCTTGCTGGCAAAGTTAAACCTTAAACGGTTATCACTTGTCGTTCAGTACAAGCTATCCATAATCTTTTATCATCAACAAAGTGAACAATACCACTGCCATTTAAAATTTTTTGTATATAGAGTCATATTGGTCTCTTGGAGAATGATCGTGCGGCACTTGCAACTTCGCCACCTTTAAGCAGGATCGAATAGCTTATCTTTAGAAAGAAGATTGAAGAGAAAATTGATCAAAAAAATGGACAGTGCTGCCATCCACATTACTCGCATGCTCTATTCACGCCTATGTCCAATCAAAGTCAAGAAAATCAAGATGAAAATATTTGTAAGAGTCCGCGTTGGTCATGCCAATGGATTCTTCTACTTTTCCAATTTGCAATTGTGAGCAAAATCTTTGCAATTAAACATATAGCTTATGAATGCTGAAACACTTTGTGCTATTTGAAGACTTGTTTTCGAAGCGTCTAATCCTATGGACATCTTGAAAGTACTTGAAAAACATAGTATCAATAATAGAATATTGATTGATTTATTAAAGCGATTATGGTACCTTTTAAACAAAAAGGCCACTCGCAGTCTTGATTGTTTGTGCTCTGCCGACTAATAGTCTTGGAATTTATTTCTTTGCTCCAAGTAAATTATGCTAATTAAGTAAATTGAACAAGACTGCTTCTTACACGTCCGCGATTCTATTTCTTATAAATATTTTATATTTACTTATGAGAAACGTCGGGCAAAGATTTTTTGAAAAGAAATCGAATTGTAATGGTACCCTTTAAAGCGTTCCAATGTCAAGTTAATTCATTCACTTTATCAAATTAGTTTCATTAAACGCTTTTTTACTCATTACGATAATTTTTTGCTTATTGTTTTAAAAATTGATGCATTTTTTAACTAAACTAATCAATTCGCATTTAGAGCGTGTTTCAAAGAAGAAATTCTGTGTGTGAAGGGAATTGTTATTTGGAAAAATGAAATTACTTCTCGTTCTCGTTATTGCAGCGCTTCTTCCGCTGTTCAATGTAGTGACTTCATATAGTGGTAAGCTGGCTACTTCTCTGTAAAAATTCCGTCTTTCTTTCTTTAATTTTCTTCTGATCGACTTTCAGGCATTTGCTATTTACCTCATGCTTCTCATAGTTCAGGTCGTAGAAAATGCAATCGCAAGCTTAAATTGTGGACTTATCGTGCAGACCTCAATAAATGCGTACGATTCCGTGGTTGTGGCGACAATTACAATCAATTTTCAAAAAAAAGTGATTGTGTACATGAATGCAAGCAATAATTAAATAAAAATAATTTTTTTGGTAAAGTATTTTTTTTTTATTTTTTAAAATTTTATTTATTTCTTTATATATTATATATATATTTTTTATTTTGTTTTTTTTTTGTTTTAAACTACATACATACATGATTTATACTTAAAATCTTAATTACTATTCTATTTACATAGAGGCCTGTGTACATTAAAAAGAAAATGTAAAGTGTGTGTTTCGTGTTTAAGTTATAGTGCTGCGAACAATTTTGGGGAAATTTTTTCTTATATTTGATTTTGATGAATAGCTTTACATCCTTATATTAAGGCTTTTTTATTCAACAGCTTTAGACGTTTTTTTATACCCATCACCACAAGACAAGTTTGGTAACGTTCATAATGCTCATCGAAGACTCATTCTTGACTAGTGCGATATACTGACTTGAAATTAGCCGGTGACCAGAATGACAATAGAAAGCCCCAATGCTAAACATAGGTGTCTAGGCTAATGTCTAAATTTAAAGTTTGAAATACCAACCACGCAAACGTAAATCCCACTAGGGTGAGCACACATTCACACAGCACATGAAACTTATACAGGAAAGGATATCTGAAGACGAAGAAGTTATTATTCATTAAAACAACTTGGTTACTCAAAAATTTTGCGTTAAGGAAAAAAGTCGCGGCATATTCACCAAAATTTAAATACATTTTTCTTAGACATTAGGTCTAAGTTTTTTTCGAGTGCAGCTATGCACTGTTGAGAGCAAAGCGCGATGGCAAACGAATGAAGAACAGCTCGGGCTATATGATGGATACCTCAGAAGTTCCCATTTATTAATCAATCAACTTTTGCCCTAAAGTCTTTAAAGATGTACGTGTAGAAGTGGCGTTACTTTGATGTTAGAGGAGAATGCTTTTCCGAATTATCAATTCTGGACGCTTTCTCTCAATTCTTGCATTTGTTATCTTATTAACCTTTGGCCATGGAAAGTGGAATCAATCACCTATTCGGATTAAAGCAGCTTATAGCACGAGATTCAAATCCCGCCGAACACAAAGCATTAGCTATCAGGGCGTCATTCCAGGCTTTCTCAACGTTTGCCCTAACATATTTTTCGTACAATACTGTGCTCCGCAACCCAAATCTTATAGACTAGTCATTGGTATGGTACCAAATGCCGAGCTTCTTCTTCTATCCGCACCGCCTTTATAGAAAGAATTTGATCGATTTTATCAATGATTGATCGAAGTGAGCGCCGCATGCCCTCGACATTTCTTTGCCATTCTTCGACATTTCCAAAGCCGAAATGAGTGAATCATTTGCATCCTACGGATTTTGATAAAACATCTTCATCATAAACAGACACTATGAAATTTTTCACAACCCCAGGCTTTTACGTTCGGCGCAATGATGTCATATAGGATAGGGAAATCCCCTTAGAATTTTGATTCATTTTAAAACACAATTAACTTCAACTTAATTAATATTATAAACGTCATAGTTTCCGTTCCATTTATGTATGAATTGTCACCATGTAACCTATTGATTAAGATGTACATCATAAACTATTTCCTTCTCCTATTTTGCTCATAAAAACTATGCCACCTGCGATGAGTATTCAAAATTCGCTCCTAAACGAATAACAATTTTTTACTGGTCTTTAGTTGGCTTTGAAAATGAATTTCATCCATCTTTGCAGTTACATAGCTTTCATATATCCTTGTATATATATTTAGGTATAAATTTCTATAAATAATTCTTATTGGATTCATTGCTTCGGTTGTTAGTAAACGAAATTTGGGAAATCAGCTGGAAAGTTATTATTATTTGTCTTCAGCTGTGTTTATGCGATGGAAAACGAAGTACAAATTGTGTGTGTAGCAAATAACATCTCGTATACTAATCAAGAATAAATGAATGTAACGAGAATTCTTTTTTTTTTTTTTTTTTTTTTTTTTTTGTTCAATTATTGTATTGTAAGACTTTCGGAGCCTTGATTAAATTGCATAAATTATGGATATAAAGTCATCTTTTAATATTGCTTTTCTGTGATTTATTCACTTTTTGCTATGGCATCACTACTCGAACAATTTAATGCTGTTTCTTTTGTAGTGTTCGTTGTATGTACTGGTGTAGTAGGTGGCGATAATTGTGAAACAGAATTCATGTGTTGTTGTTGTTGATATGCGTTTGTATTTACATTAGAAGCAGCTGATACGGTTGGCGGTGTCGGTGAGTGATCCATAAGATTAACAGATGGCATCATGTTAGCGACAAGACCGTTCATGGTACTGGCTGTCATATCTTGGGCTTCATTTTTCAGCCTTACACTGGCCTGATGGGCTGCCGAGCTACTTAGTGCAGGATGATGAAACGACAAGGGCGGCAAATGTAAACCTGGAAACGCAAGGCCAGCAGCAGCGGCGGCATGTAACGATTGCAATAACGCGGCCGAGTGTTCTTGTGCCTTACGCCTCAATTCAGCTACCGAAGTGGAGCGCGGGTCGCTGCTAGAATGAGCGGTTTGTGTGGGAGATTCTGGCGAGCTTGTAGACGAAGAACAAGACACATTGGCTGCACTTGAGGGTGGCTTTAATGTACAACACGAACAAAGGCCCGGAAATGCCGGCACACCTATACGTAAATAAAAAGCAAAGGAAAAATCAAAATCGAATTATTAAATATGAAAAGGAAGTTAATTCAACTAAAAGCTCTGCGACCATCGCACCTGTCATGACGAGAACAGAAAATCAATATTTCTTAAAACATTAACAGGTGATGATGTGAATTGCGTGTGTGTAAGTGTGCTGCAGAATTACACTTGATTGACAATCAATCTGAGTCAATGAAATGATGGAATTTTAATAAAATGACTCCATGTGAATATTACTTTATTAATATTACTCAGTTTATGTAAAGTATATTAAATATCCAAAAAGAAAGAGAAAGCATCATCATACCTTTCAATCCGGAAAATAAAGGCTGCTGTGAAAACTGAGAACTTAAAGATGCCAAATGCGGTGGCAAAAATAACGAATGACTATGATTTGCCCGACCGATTGTACCGCAGGCTAAAGAGGTCGGTGGTTCATTCAGTACCGGTCGGAAACCGCAATTTCTGTAAGAAGAAAAGAAATGCGTTATCCGCTTATATGATAGTATTTCTGTTTTTTACATTTTCTTAAAATATTGAAAATCGATGGTTTGAGAAACACCAAGCCTTTGAAACACATTCTATTGAGAAAGCGTTCATTCATTTAATCTTTCAACCACATACTAAGCAATCTTCTATCGAAGACTCCGAAGACGGCGTTAGGCGTAGTTCGGTGACGCCACCAAAATTACTCAATCGATTTGAATTTCGAATAAGTAAACTCGTTAAAAATACATCCTACCTAATATTAGCTTCACAGTATACGATATTCCTTCTGTCCTTTAGCATAGCGGCTTTAACATCATCGTGGTATATAAAAGTCTTTCGTTTCTCTTGTGCAAAGAATTTGATGAGTATATCTTTTATTTCGTTTAATATGAGCGTCAGTACTTGCAAGTGGTTTAAAACGGTTAATCGATGACAGTTTTGTTTGGATGATATTTTTGTTCACTTCACTTGGTGAACGCAAAAAGATCATTGACATCGGCATTTTTGGAACAAATGCCTGGGAGTTTCTTTTCGATTTTTGTTTCTAATCATATGATTTGCAAGCGACTAGTATAGCACCAGATTCATTTAGCGGTTGCTTCTGTTATTGCATAGTTTTGTTTTTATCACCTAAAAGCTCCGACATTTTCAAAGATAGCAACAACATTTCTAGCAACATATTAATAAACTTTAAATTCTAAATCTCAACTTATTCGCCATTTGATTCGCTGCTACTTCCACTCTCTCGCTAACCTCAATAAAGATATCTATTCGTTTTACATTTTTATAAATATTTCTAATAATTATTAATCCTTTTTGCTTTTTTTATTGGCTGTGAGCTGTGGCTTAATTAATTCTCTTAATTGAAATAAATTAAAAATATTTTTTACTGTCTAATCGCATTATATTATTTAAAGGCGTAGACACACAAGTAAACTAAAGCCAACGTTCATGCATTTATGTTTGTGTGTACATAAATGCATGATAAATATGAGAAAACATGAGCGTGTGAGTGCATTATTGTTGTTGATAGCCGAGCTATTATATATATTTATGTAAGTGCCTTTACAGTATATTTTCTCTCATTCCTATTATGCACTGCAATACATGCGCTACAAGGAAATATAAAGTTTGGGCGGATATATGCAATATCCAGAAGAACTTAAGACATACCCACCAAGAATTATTTTCTGGATCGTGTGCGTCTATTTTTCGGATACCACCGCACATAAGATTTCTTATAAAGAGTAAATCCTTCAAAAAAATACTTAATTTTTAGCATCTTATGATGAAAATTAGTCCATAGTAGCAAAAAATTAACAATACGGAATTTGGATCACATAGGTCCAATAGGCAGGCCCTTATATGAAGAGGAAGAGTAATTTCAAATTTTTTATGGCAAAACCTGGAAAATAATAAAATTTTCAGGAAGCAAATTAAGTTTGCTAAACTTGGATTACATCATACGATGTTCTGGACATCCTTCAATATATGGACTTTCAGGAAAAGGATGCCTTAGTATGAAAATGAGGTGCAATTTTTGATGTGTTATTAAGAACACGAACGAAATGGTGTAAGATGTTTAATGGTCGGTCCTGCACAACTACTTGTTTTGTTATTCTGCTTATGTAGACTAATTAGCGAAAAACGTTAGATCTACTCCCCACACTTTTCAATTGCAAAGGAAGAAGAAGAAGACGAAGAAAATTGAAATTTTTTTAAAGGTACATTTTTGCACTCACATCTGTTGCGTTGCGGTCAATGATTGTTAAAAACTCACTTAAGCTCAAGTTATTTCTAATATTCTGTGCGAAGCTCTCACTGTGTTTGATGGTGTTGGCACTTGAAATATATATATATATTTTTTCTCGTACTCAACACTTTTTATTTACTAGTGTGTTTATATGGTTCTCGATTTATTAATTTATAATGTGAAATTAAGTTAATTTGTATATTAACAAAGCAATTAAAAATGCTTTCACATGCAACGCCGAAGATCAATTAATTAAAATTTTTTTTTAAATATTTTTGTTGTAAATGATAATAAACTCAATTATGATTTATTATTTTTATCTATTAAAAACTATTATTGCACCCATATATCAATAATTTCATAATTAAAGAAAATTTTTCACAACACATCAATGCAAACGTATAAAAAGGCGAATAATTTTTGATTTCTGAAGTGTTCATAATAATCGTTGTAGCATGAGATTAAAATAATCTCTTTAATCGCTTTGTAGCATACGGATAAACAGAGTGTTGGAGCTCGCATCTTAATCGGGTTTACATTCTCAATTGATTTAGACGTAATCGCACAATCATTTATCTATTGCTTTGTCATCTTATATTATAAAAATTGCACTTTGGTGCGTAAATGATTGAAAATCTCTAAACCTATCGACAAAGTCTTGAGAACTTAAGAAGATTGGAAGCAAACTCCAGTTTAGGGCGATTATAGACAATCAAATGCATGAGAGCAAGTTTACAGCTCTGCAATGTAATGGAAAGAATTCGGCCCCGTCTTGCAAACAGAGTGGACTTGAGATTTCTGCTAACAGATAGGTCGACGACCCCATATATCGAATTAGAATCTTTATCCGGTGTACATAATAACATGCAAAAATTTGTCGTTATCAGAGCTTATTTTTTTCTTTTAGGTTTTATCCGGATTAGTTGCCGAAAGGATGCCTGTTCGTTTGAGACAACGCATAGGACGGTTTTGTTCTTCGAATATCGTCATAACAATGGCCTCTACCTGTGTCATGTTGAAAAATCGACCTATAATATCTTATCATAAAAGACTGCGCTTTCTTCCCTAATACCATCAGTTATAGTTAAAAGATTTCCACTCTACTAGGTTAGATAAGCTTATAGTGTAGCCCAATTGTCTGTTGGAGAGTTATTTTTTCCCGGAAGCAATTTGATTTGCTATCGGTCTGATGATTAGCCCCATAATCTTTTATGCTTTGGATTTTCAAACTAAATCCGTTTTTTATCATCCTTAGCGCTACGATGTCAAAGTGATTCGGTCTCTTTGCAGCATTTGTGGTTTGTCTGTTATGCTGCCACTCGTCTCTTATATTCAGCTTATATAACTTTCATCTTTCTGCAATTTGCATCTTTTTCATATTGTTCAAGCGTGCATTGACACTCTGTCAAGTCATATCAAGGTTTCCCTTTGCTTTCGTTACCAAAATTGAGCAAAAATTAGTTCAAATCTTTTTTGTGCTCTCCTACACCTTCATCGCAGACTTTCACATAAAAGCGTAGCTTATTGAGCAGCTACTTAGGGCATGTCCTCTGTTTGTGTGAGTATAGAAAAAGAGATAGGGAAGCGGCTACAGCCTCGTGGCTTTGTGCACAATCATTGGTAAGTGTTATGTCTTTATCGTACTCAATATAGCTACGCCCAAGTAAACGCTATCGTATTGAGATTTTAATGATTTTTACCTACTCGGCTACTCATCCTACCCAACCGTGGCTAAATAAGGAAAACAACGCGCAGCACAAATGTTCATTATTAGGCGTGAATTTAATCATCCCCAATAGGAAAAATATACATACATATATATTTATATTTATTATGTATATATACTGATTTTTTGAGTCGGTTGGAAAAATAGATGAGACCACTATAAGGCAAGCCTATCGGTCGACCAATTTTTTTCTTATAATAATCTTTTAACTGACTCTAGCAAATATTTGTACCAACCTTTTTGTCGATAACTTTCACGTAAACAGTAAGAGGGCCTTTTGTTAGGCCAGTTTTCCATATATATATGTCATTAAAGCAATACCTGGTAGGAATTGGAAATTATATTTATAGAGTTCCGAACCTCTTTGAGAAAGGGTTTGAGCGAGATTAGCTGGGAAACAATAAGTCAAACGACACCTTTTTGTTTCAGTTTTTGGGAAATATTTGAATAATAGGCGGCAGACAGACATATGGACGAACACACGGACAGATGGACGTTGCAAAAACGATGCTGATCAAGAGTATAAATGCTTCGCTCATCTTTTGATGATTACTTTGAGTCGCCATGGTAGAAAGTTGTAGAAAACAATGAAAACTATTTTAACTAATACAAATTGTCGTATTTTCTGTCAACAAATGCTTTTTTCAAGTGAAAAATAACCTAAATGAAGGCAAACACCTGATAGGAGCCAAAATGGCGGTTTCTAAGAACCATTTTTTGGAGAACCATCTTTTTCCTTCAGCAAGATATCCGGTTTTTGATGGCCTTCTACTATTTGTGGCACGGGAATCAACAGCCTGCAGACGTGGCGATGGAGAAAAATAGGTCTAAAGCTCGCCTGTCTTACAATTTATTATTGAATGAATCCTTCTAATATAAAATATTGCATTGTATGCCCAGTGACATCGACTCTGACATTGACAAATTAGAAGAGGTTCGACGACGAAAGAAATGTGCCGATTCGGTCACGCTCCTATAAATAATCTTGTGGAAGGACCCTGCATCCCGATGTCTTATTGGCAAGTCATCTGAATCCTTATTTATTAAAAGTTAATTTAAAGAAGACCTCAGCAAGATGCGCGTACCAAGGAGAGTTTATTGCACAATATTTAAATAGCCTGACATGGAGTTTGTATTATATAGATCATTGAAACTTTCGGAAACGAACCTCAACGACTTGAATAGTGCATAATTATATTTACATTGGCTGACTTTCTTCTTCTTCTTTCCCGCCAACCGATTAAAGTAACTTCTTTCAGTTTACTAAACAGATATTTAGCGTTGAAGGTAGACATAGTTCTGTAGAGCAGGCTTATGTCAATTTTGTAAAACATATTCGAAGTGATTGGTTGTGTTATAGTAGTGAGACGTACTTTTTAAAATGGAAGATCAAAATGAGCATATAAAACATATTTTAGTTTTTCATTCAGAAGAATATCGAGAAATATGAGTTATGTGTGGAACTAGTGCTATACCAGAACACACATTGGTTTGTGA